AGTATAATGCATTAATGATGAATCTTCTATTTTAAAGATATTATTGTTTTTTTTCAATTAATCTAATAGATAAGGATTTTTATCTAATAGATAAAAATTTTTCTAGGTGAATTAATAATCTTTTTATTTAAAATTTATCTTAATTTGATTTTTAAAATTTAATTCTTAAAATAAATTTTTCTGAATAAAACAAAGAAGTAAAAAATTTTCTATATATGTACCAAATTTACAATAAATAAAATTTGATTAGATGATATAATAATAATAAAAAAAATCTTGTATTTTTCTATCTTCACAAAATTATTCCGAGATTAACTTTGACATTATTCTTAAATAAAAATAAAAAATGAAATTGAAATGAGAAATATGAATTGAAAAAGATGAAATTGAATAAAACGAACTTTATTTATGTGTGTAAGTGAGAGATTAGCATTAGTATATACAATTTTTATTTACATTATATTGTCAGACTAATTATATATATATTATATATTATATTCGCGAAATATGAGAAATATGATCGCAGAAATTTTAGAACTGTCTTGAAAAATTCATCAAAAATGGGCAACAATCTCGATGAAAAAAAGCAAAAAAAACCTGTGAAGTTTATTACGAACATTCGCGCGCGTTTCATTGTGTCATGATGAAAATTCTGCAACGATGGAGAAGTTGGCGCGCGAATAATTTTTCTCACGCGAGAAAAATCGCTCGACTCTTGTTATTAGCTCGACTAATAATTTCCCGGAACACGAAACGTGTAACATAATTGTTAGCGTGGAATAATTACGCAAATCACGGCCATTTGAATGCAATTTGTGCGCTTAGCTACACTTTTTACAATTATATCTCGCCCACTAATAATTTTATCATAAAACGATTTTTTCTCCCTTTTCTTCTCTCTTTTTCTCACTTCTTTTTTTAGAAATTGTACAAATTTATTGGTGATTTGTAATTTTAAATATATTCTAATTTATTTTTTAATTCAACACTTTTATAATTTAATAATCTGTTATTAGTTTATATAATCTTGTGATAAAATATATTTTTAATCTTTTACGTTGTTTAAAATATAATTCGAAAAATTAATAAAAATTAATATTTTTCAAAATTTTTAAAAGACTCTACATATGTGTTTATCATTGATATCAGTGTATATATATTTGTCACACTATGCTAGATCGTATCTTTGTAGAAATCTAAAAAGAAAATAAACTAAATATCAAATCATAGAGAGTTATTAAAAATTGATAACTTTGGAAACAATGCGAAGACAATTCGAAATGAAACGCGAAAGAGAGAAAGAAAAAAAGAAAAAATAAAATGACCATTGACGTCTTGAAATCGGCTTATGTTATTTCGCTTTGCTTCTTGTTGGATCAAACGCATGGATGTTCTACTAGCGCGACTATAAAGTACCATCACCGTCGTCATCATCACTGTCGTTCTTCGCGTTTGTGCTATAAAATACGAATACGAGACGTTGTTCGTGAACTACTGATTTCTGTGTTCGTGATGCGATTCGACATATAATATACCGGATTTTTGCATCGAGCAGCGCAAAGAGTACTCGCGTGTACTCGCGCTATCTTTGACGCGGATTGCGGTGTCAATTTCAGAACGAATATCGAACAATTGGAAGGATGGCATGTAATCTCAAGTTGAATCAACATATAAGAGACTAAAATATTGAAGTTGAATCAAAATAAAATGGAATTTTTATTGAGCGCGTAAACACAGATTTAATATTATAAATATATATATATGCAATCATTTCTCTTTCACTTTTTACTTCCAATTTTACAACTCAATTTTTTAATTGAATTATATATATATATATATATATATATATATATTTTTTTTTGGATAACATAATCGGCTTGTCTTTCCTCGCGTCGAGTTAAACGCATAGATATTCTACTGACGTGACTACAAAGCATCGCCACCTCCGCCGTTTTCCGTCATTTCCGTGTTTCCGTTGCGAAATACGAGTGTGGAATTCAAGGCGTTGTTCGCGAATCACGATTTCCGTTTTTGTAACACGATTTAACATAATAGTTCAGACTCTCACATCGAGAAATGCATGTTCTCGCATCATGTTCGATATGAACTGCATCATGGATTTCAGGACGAATGTCAAAAGATTTAACTGCGCACGACATGGAAAGTATATTTATAAATGTGATTCTTTTATTTTTTTTTTTTATATATATCCATTATTTATTTTCGATATTTTGTTAATTAATTTTTTATATTTAAATGTAAAATAATTTTATGTGAGACAAAAATAGCTAAAAAGTCTAGAGGGCATTTTACAGTGAATCATGAATGTAAATTTTGTGGATATTTGAATTCGAGCCCAGACGAGTTTTAGTTGGTGAATGAAAAACGGCCAATCGCGTGGTACGCAACTTTATTCAAATGACGGTAATAGGATTCGCGAATATGGAAATTTACGACCGAATCTTCGTGTAGAACACGACCGAACTTCTCGTAATAAGAAATCGCGGAAGTGAATAATGCACGATGAAACTTGAAAAGTTTACGTATTTTTAAAGCAAGAACTCGTTAGAAAGTCAAAACTGTGTTAAATAGCTTCGTAATATTCCTGTTGGAAAATCATCGAGCACTTGTAACATTACATTTTTCTAATATCGTATAAAGAAGTTTATGTAAAAAATACGATATATTGAAAGTAAAGTTTGAAATTAATTAAAAATGCATAAAAATGTGAGAAAATATGCAATATTATGATACTTTACAGTGAAACTTTTACTATAATAAATTTGTATAAATATTCTATTACATATATATTTGTTTAACAATTAAATAATTAAATGTATATATTTATTCATATTTTTAAAAATTAGCACATTATAAAATTAGAAATCTTATTGTAAAATAATATATATTTTATACTAGTTTTAAATATATATTGTAATTGTATTATAATAGATATAAAATATGTACTCTCTTTGCAATTCTTGTCTGTAATAAGATCTGTACAAGGTTATTGGCATCGACTATCATAATCCTGTTCCGTCTTTTTCTGTAAGAGAAACCGTACAACGTTAAAATATATTCTGTGCTTAGAGAAAAGATAGCTTTTATTATTACATTTAGTTTGCCATTTACCACAAGCATACGAGCATTCAAGCGCACGTCTTACGTACATGTTACATATAACCAGATTGCAGAAAGATATCGCGATGCCTTTGGTAATCGCGCGACATTGTAACCTTATGAAAATTTTAAAGGAAATAATTTTCTCGAACAATACATATTGTAGTTTTTAAAAATTATTTTTTAACAATTTTTTAGGATTTTCCGTTAATTTATATATTTCTTTACATTGTGAGGTTTATTTTTATAGCATTTTAACATTTTAACATTTTAACATTTTTGTTCATTATAAAGAAAATTATATTTAGGTGACAAATTGTAATTAAAACTTAATATAAATTTTTTTTCTAGAATTCTATCTATAATTTGTACATTTTAAATGCATATATGCTCAATATATATAATTATAGGTTATTCGCTTAAAAAATGTTTTTAAGAGAAAAATATATTTTTTAATTATTATCCTAACATAGTCTTTAAAATTCTTTATCCATAATTATACTTATTAATTATCCTAACATAGTCTTTAAAATTTTTTATCCATAATTATACTTATTAATTATGCCGATGTAAAATATTTATTAATAGGATAAAATTCTGTGTTGAATTTACCTGAGTTTGTAGATTACGCAAGAAAGATAAGATTTTTAAATTGGGAAGATGAGTTTTACCGCGCGTTATGAATAATAGCAAACTGGAAGCTGTTTATATTCTCGGCAACTAAAACATAACCATGAAAATAGATATATGAGCAATAATGTGTTTCAAGGTGGAGGTAGCTCTCAACATTTATGTGTCAGCCACATCGAAAATCGATCGACACGTATAAAACGAACGCGACGCGACGCGATTGTTTTAACCGGCAGAAAATTCGCCGACTCGAGAAATAATTCGGCTCATTGCACTTGCATATTTACTCCGTTGCGCATTATGTGTACACATAATAGGCGGTTTATGTAATCATAAAAAAAATTTCAATTATCAATATCGACATTGGAAAATCGATTCGGATATTAGTATCATGATCACAAAGTAGATTTAAATAAAGCTCTCGTAATAGATTAATAAAATATTGCGGCCAACATATTCCGCGCGCGCGCGCGCGCGCGCGCGCGCACACACACACACACACACACACACACACACACACACACACACACACACACACACACAGTTGAAATCCATTTTAAATGATTCGTAATTCATGATATAATTCGGGACAATCCTCTTTCTATGTCATATTATATGCGGAAAACATTTGAAGAATTGATATACACATATGCAAAATATGCATTTCACAATTTACATATATATATCACAATATACTAGTATAATCATATAATTATAAATAAAATTTTGTCCTGAATTCTATACAGAAAATTATGAATCGACTAAAGTGAGCTTTAATTAATCCAATGGGAGATTATGCGAAAATCACACAAAATCTTGTTAATAATATAAATATTAATTGAATGATTAATCATATTTAAAGTTTAAATTCTCTCTTTATATTAATAGTTTAAATTCTATAAATTTCTTATATTTTTATCAGAGATAAAAGATTTACACAATTCTTGTTATTAGTCTGATTTTCGTTAATAAATCAATGTTTATAAAATCTCAATATTTTTACTTTAATATTCTTAGAAAAAGGTGCAAATGTGTGTTTTATCTTGACATGATATTTATTATTGCAGACTCTTTGAAAAATATATAGTATTATATAGTATTTGTTTTTCATTGTTGGATGTACATCTATCTCACATCACACTATTTGTTTTATATGCTTATTAAATCAATATATATATATATATATATATATATATATATATTTGTATTCTATCGATATATATATTCAATGTAGATAGATAATATCTTACCTTAAAATCCTCTCAGCTGATTCTCGTTTTTCAATCTAGCTATTTCCAGCGCGTCTTGCCCACGAGAGAAAATCAATTTACAGTATTTTGGTTTCATGATAATTCCACTCGCACACAGAAATAATGTCACAATGTCTTTCACACTGATTAATCGAGATTCCGGGAAACGAAGACATCTTCCGTTATTATACGTCAGTTCCGTTATTATGCGTTTGACGTTAATCGATTCGTTATTATTTCTTCATTATTACATTTCTTCCTTCTGATATTTTTTTATTTTCAGTTATATTTATTTATTTACTATCTCTTCAGTTATATATATATATATATATATATATATATATATATATTCAGGAATTATTTCTTCAATTATTTGATTACATTCTGCTCGCACTGTTTATTAAGAAAGTTAAACATTCTATTTTTCAATGAGAGGTTCGTGGAAAAGCGAGACATTGTGCGATATTAAGTAAATTTCATTGAGTTTATATTATATTGAATGAGTAGGGTCAGTGTTACTTGCAAATCATCTTAGCGGAAATACGCAATTGAGCCGATAAATTAACAGATTTTGCTTTATTGCATCATATACTATATAAATACTGTTAATTCGTTTTATTTATACAGCTTTATCTATGATTGTGAGTAATATTATGGAATTGCATTGATAATCTTTGTCAAAAGTTACATATTTATAATATCATGATTTACTTAACAGAGAGATTATTTATATACAACATCATATATACTCCAATTTCAAATTAAAATTGCAATGTTAATAACACAAGGGTCAAACACACAATAATTTTCTCTTATTATTTTGATTTAATATCAAAAAGTCTCTTTTCAAATTTTATTTTAGACATGATTGACATGATCAAAAAGTAATTTCTTACGTCGATCAATAATATAAACAGGAAATAATATTTATTTATATTAAATATAAATTATATTTATATATTAAATAAATAATTTAAAGTCTATATTTTAAATTACATAAAAAAATGTAATTTTTCATCTGTGTTTATAGCCATCTTTTTTTCATAAATAGATTAGTAACGAAAATATTAATTATTAATGTGACAAATGTTAAGAGAAATTATGTTTGCGATTAATTATCCATATTGTTGCTTTGAATTGAAAATTAAAAAGTTAAATGAAGCTTGTCTATGAAAATATCGGCATATTTGTCATTATTACAAATAGTATAGCATAGATAACATGTCACGCACAATCATATCGATATATATGGTTAGCATAATTCTAAAATATATTTATCGAATGTTATTATTACAATATTAATGTCTTTGATCTAAAATAGCTCCCCTTCCCATTTAATTTATAATTTATTAAATAGACCTTTCACTAACTGTAAACTAATTGTAAATGTCAATATCCGTTAAATGACCGCAAAGAGCACTTTTGGGAGTTTTTTTAATGCAATAAAATTAAAACGTGCGATCTACACGATCGTCGTAAGATCGCCAAGCGTATTATAAGATAGCTAATTTCTTTGCAAACATTTAATGCACCGTCATCTTGAAACTTTACACAAAGTCGTATCTCGTCATGGTACTTGCACCATCATAGATCTTACACGAAACACGTGGTCGAGGATTAGCGAAAATAGGCTTCTATCTTGAATGTCCGTGTGTACTTGACACACATCGCAATATCCTCTTCGTTCTCATCCGTTATCCGTCTTAACTCACATAAGAGGATGTAATACCAATTCTATGGTTCTCAATTTTTTAAAACAAAAAGACGTATTTCGTTAAGATATCAAGGGTGCTTATATTTGAAGGTCACATTAATGATTGATTACGAGCAATGAAATGTAAATCGATATGATGACAGCTGTGGCGCGCAAGAAACGATTGATGAATTATCCGTTTTGATTAAACAAAAGAGATGTTTCGGCTGAACGAAACGATAATCTTCCCCAGCTTGACTAAATTAAATTTTACTGGAAATTAATGCGTAAAAACTGTGAATGCTGATTATTGAAAATTTAAATAGAAATTATTCAGAATTATTAATTAATTTAAATTAAATTTCATAAAATTCAGGATATATGATGTGATATATGATTATCAAAAGTTAGAATCACGAAGTTAGAATCATCAACCTCGACTTATCGAACAAGATTATCTCTTCGAACAGCAACTGTTATAGTTTTCACTAGCAATCACATCATCAATCTAATTAGAGAGAAATTTTCTTTAGCATTTCCTTATAATATGCATACGTAGAAAATCGAAGTTAAATCATCATTATTGATCTATTAAACATATCTCTTGCATTCAGCAAGGTAATATTCAGGAGCGGAAAATCAGAGTTAGACCATCAGTCTTAAACACTACACTTCTCGAATTCAATGACTCATACTGACATCATGATATCCCGGAACAGTAGATTGAAATTAGACCATCATCATTGATCTCTCCAGCAGTGGGTTATACATCCTTGAGTCGACACCTTAATTTATCACTCGGCATTTATCACTGCAAATTCCTTTTTTTAGAAAAAAGGCTTTTCGTTTTTATTCTATAATTCTCATGATGATGAATAATCAAGACTCTCATCATCACGTGTGTTACATCGCGTATTGGATCTTTAATATTTGCGAAATATCTGTGAGAGAATTTGCATATTCCGGATTAATTTTGCTTACATCGAGAAGACTTGAGTGTGCCCAGAGAGAACGAAGATGTATTCTGAGCGAGCGATTGAACGACGCGACACACGGTATGTGTGGCTGACACGGCTCGCGAGGCCGCAGTGAACTGTGGGTGGTTGCTTCAGAGGCTTTCCCGCTTTCCACCAGCGACGCACTACCGCGCCACCCTGTCTCTGCGTCTCTCACCCTCGCCCTCTTCGCCCCACATCGGACGGTGATATTGCCTCCACCTTCTCGAATCCCTCTGCCGTCACCCTGATCCGCTCTCGCTCTCCCTTTCTCTCTTTTTGCCAGTGAATCTCCGAGCTCACCCTCTTCGTCGTACTTCCACCACCCGCGCAGAGAAAGGTGGTTTTTCAACGGCCAGCGCCAACGAACGCCCGTGTCCGCCACCTCCGCGAGGTCGAGAGTGAATCTAATTCGCTAAAATCGAGACGTCAGATCTCGGATGAGATATCAAACAGATATTGCGATTATCAACTATTTCGGGAATATCCGTATTAATCCACTAAAGGTCTATTAAATGATCAATTATATAATATGAGATATATTGGTACAGCATATAAAATATGTACACTATATAAAATATTTTAACAAAATTTTAATATAATTTTAATATTGCAAAAACTTTAAGAATTTATTCTGAATTATCAATCAACTTATGCAAAACTGTAATTATAAAGGAAATAGTAAAACATTATTTTAAACGATATAAACAAAAATATTTTTTATTTAAATTAAAAATGAGATTAAAATATATGATTATATTACATAACTCAAATTTGAAGCGTCAACCATAAATATTTTATCAATAAGATCTTAAAGCAATAGTTTTGAAAATTTTCTAATAAAAGTACTAATTAAAAAGTTCTAATTAAGTTTAATTTCTTTAATCAATTTCTAATAAATTTTTTGAAAGTTCGATTTGTCGGCATTTCTGTTAAAAAAAGCAAACTATCTCAATCGATTAACAGCGTATCCTTGTAATCATGTAAAAATTAACACAGGCTGTGAAGCGGAATTCATCAACTCTATGTTGTATCACCTCCTACATCTGTCTGTTTGTCTGTTCTCTTGTCGCACAGATGTATAAACATATATGTCATATATGTAACGTGTGTATATCGAGTACATATGACAGAACAGAAAAAGTTTAGCAGGATATAAAATAAAGCTAGACGTGCGGTAGAAACTGGAATGTACGCCAGATAAAATGTCATATGTATACTGGATGCTAGAAATCTCATAATTTCTCTCTTTGATAAATAATAAAAATAGATTTAAAAAGTAAAAATAAATCTAAATAGTTAACGTAAAATAGTTAATGTAAAATATATAATAATATATAACGTAATAATATAATTTAAATACACTTAATCTCAATAAATTAAAATATAGCATATTCGGTACGCGAATATAAGAATTAAAAGTTTAATAAATAAAATTGAAACAAAATATTATACTCGTTATTGTAATCGATGTAAATGATTATATATTTAGGAAATTATTTCTCTTGGTTATCATAATTTTTTTTTAAATCGTCGCTGCGGCTTCATAAATCTCTCGTTAATATGTCTCGTGAAGTCAAGGAGCTTCTCTCGTCGCAATAAGTTCTAACAATTAATCTGTCTCGCAATTATTAATTATACTAGCTGAGGTGATTTTATTCGTCGTAGTGCGCGTATAAGCAATCAATAGCTGTAGCGGTAACGAAGTTTGTTACTTTTGCCAATTAGAAGCGAAAAAAAAATATTTTCTATGTCTCGGCAAACTTTTGCAAATTATATGTTTAGAAATAAGAAGTTTTTCCAAGAAACGAAAACATTTCAACTATATATATATATATATATATAGTTGAAATAAGAAAATTCAACGACATTAAATGATTATCACAGCAGAATTGAAAAAATAATTAAATTTTTTCCAAAATATGTATATTAAATACATTCTAAATAAATTCTTTAAAATTAATAAAAACATCTGATTACGTTATACATCTACGTTTTAGCTTTTTACTTAGCTGATCGTAATTATCATTTTAATCGTTATCGTTTAGAAAGATATATCACTATTAATTTAAGAAAAATAGATACAATTTTATGAGTATCTCTTCGCAAAATCGATTTATCGAAGATTTTTTAATTATAATTCTATAGATTTGTTAATCTTTATCTTTATTGTCCTCTTTCTTGGACGAACTTTCCTGGACAGAACTATAAGAGACTTTTATCTTGATAAAAATCTTTTTCCTTGAAATTACAAGAAATGCAGCAGAATTTACTAGAAGTAAAATCGGAATGTATTTTCTGCCGTTCTGTCGTTTTCTCCTCTCTCTTTCTCTGAAAATTTTGATTTTTCATACAATAAAAAAAAACAAAGTTTTATTGCAACAAGTACATACACAACGCAAATTTATAAATCATAAATCATAAATTATGTATTTTGTGTAAAACTCTTCGAGCATAAATAGATACGATAATAAATAAATACGATTAAGCAATATTCTTTAGCTGTTCCAAACTAATAGTATTAATAATATGTTCGCAATAAATGAAATTTATTAATAATGAATTATTTATTTGCACGAAAATCTCGTTCATTACACAATAAACATGCGATTTTACAAATGTGTTACAACTAAACACGCATCAATATAATTATACAATATCAAAATTGTAAATTATTGCGCCAATCACAAATAATTAAACGGCTCAAATGACAGGTGATTTGATGCTTGTCGCTTTAATTTCATTGAAATTATTGAAAATAACATATAAAATAAAGCTTTTTATTTCTTTTGAAGCTATCTTTTAAATATTTAATTACAAAATAATCTTTATTTTTAAAAATGCGATCTAAGATGTTTAGAATTAAATTTTCCGATTTTTGTTATATATTGTAAAAAGAGTATTCATAAAGTAAAAAAAAACATAATATAATAGACAGCTGTGTCACGCTTTCTCTGCAACTATAAAAAAAAGATGACCCTCTTGTTATCTGGGTCGTTTCGCAAATTGGAATGACATCAATTCGTATACAGGCTCTCTCGTCACATATTCTTTACCTTCTCTATAAATCTCCGAACGCATTGCTTATTCTCAATTTTATTGAATGCAAGAATTATTCTATAATGCATATTAAGATTGATTTTAATTAATAAAGTATAATAAACAGAATTATATTATTAATTATTACTATTAATATTATTAGCATATTTATTAAAAGTATTCACTAGTATATTTTTAGATATATTAGGAAATTATCGTTTTTTATTACTTTTATTATTTTTATCATTATGATTTATCATACAATAATGATTTGATTAAAATATAAATCATAAGAAGATGAATCCATAATAATTAATAAATAATTAATTATAATAATATCAAGGAAGAGAGAAAAAGAGAGAGAGAAAATTTGAAATTATATATAGATATTTTCATTATTTATTATTTAAAACATTTTATTATAATTATATTTTTCATTATTTCATATTTTTATTTTTATTAATAAAATTTATAGAAAATTAATTATTAATTAATAATTATAACTTGCAAGAATAAAATATAAAATATCAATGTCAAATCTAATCCGTGACAGATTATTTTTAAAAATGTTGTCTTTTTTTAAACTATTTTTCTAAATGAAACAAGAAAAATCAATAATTATTTATTTTTGTTTTAATATTTTTATTATTTATTTAATATTATTATGATTCTCGGCGAAGATTAAGACGTTACCGAGGTAAAATGAGACGCATATTTTGACAAAATCTCGTATGTTATCCCAGGTTATTTCCCTGACAAGGGAAGTGAAAAAGATACCAAAGAAGAGATGGACTGCTCTTTCGCAGGTCCTTACATATTACATAGCTACGTGACTAGATTTATCGACGATGACCAGAATAGTAAATATGTACTCAGACTGTCCATTTGCGATGAACATTCCATTTTCGAGGAATTTATCTCGGAACTGAACGTCAAATTCAATTTAAATAACTGATTAAGCAATTTGCTAAAATATCTATAGCTTTAGAGAATCTACAAAAATCAATATTAGAATCAATAAGCAATTTATATGTAAATAGCATATTTTTATTTAGTTCATACTTGATTTTTCTTCTACGCGATATTATTCTTGCAGATAACATGTCACAATTAGTAATTTTAATTTTTAATTTAATTTGGTTTAACTTTTAATTGAATTTCCAAGGAGTTTTTACATATGTATGAAAATGGCTTTTTGGGAGCCGAAAGACCATTTTACAGAAATTAACATTTAACGTAACATTAAATATTTCTTACGTAAAAATTAACACGTAGCGTTCTACTAATAATTCGATTAATTATAATTAAAAATGTTAATCAAATTGTTTAATAACTAAATATAAATAGATCTTTTTTACTCGTTAATATGATATTAACACTTGAATATAGTACGATATGAAAGAAATCTCGCGGAAAATTTTATGTATGAATATCTGATTTTTAAATCATCTTTAATATCCTCTTTCTCTGTAATATTTTCTTTTAATTTCGTAAACATTTTAAAAAATACGATGATACTTTATATTTTAATATTAAATGATTTTCTCCATTGTTGTGACATAAAATAAAATTTTTGATAGTCAATGAATACAATATCTGTGATGAACGAATCCGTTCAACTAGCATTATTGTTTATATATAAGTTGAAATTACATGAAGTAGGATTTAAATGTCCCTGAAAACGAATGATTTTGTTGTCTCACGTTATGCAAGTGTTATTAATATTACAAGAGTATCTCAGATTTACATGACTTAGCTTAAATTAAAAAATAAAAGGATCGCAATTAAGAAATAGATTTATTTTTAAAAAGATAAAAAAAGTTTATGTGAGGTAATTTAACTGAAAAAACGTACATAAAATAATATAGAACGAATTATAAAATTATGAAATCATGTGAATGATAATAAATAAATGACTAACCTGCTCTTAAAATAATTTAAAATAATTTTAATTAAATTAGTATTTCAACAATTACATAGATTTTATTTGAAGAATTTTACATTAAAACAATTTTAAATTATTTTAAAGTTAAAATGTTATATACATATCTTTATTTTCTTTCTTTTTGAAAAATATTGAAAAGATATCTTGGATTGTCTCTAAGAAAGAGTTTTTTAATTTTCAAAGGTCTTTGTGAATTATTTATGAACAAGATAAATATTGGATATCACAAATTATCAATTATTATCTAGAAATTATTCTTTATTGATAAGCTCAGGAAAGAATTTCTTTTTATAATTGATAAGCTCAGGAAAGAATTTCTTTTTATAAAGATAAAAATGGCATAAAGTAATTCAGTAATTTATTGATTCACACACCTCTCGATGTTTCCTTATATTATAATATTTATAATAATAATCATCATAAAATCATTATAATAATAATAATAAATCTTGTTATTTCGAATTATTGTACATCGATATATTATCTCATAATATATATATATATATAATATCTATATCTCGTATGTATATATATATTCTATATTAATATTTATATATTTATAGACTTTTCTATCTGCGTTTCCCGCCATTAGAGAATAGATTCTTAAAACTCTCTATATTTTATCACCTGCCGAGAGTAAATCCTGGCAACGAGAGATTGAGAAAACTTTGCGTGCTTAAAAAAAAACACGCCTCTGCCGAGCATCACGAGCATTATATTCTTATTTTTTTTAAATATTTTATTCTTATTTTTTCGACATGATTCGCTGTACCCACCGAGAAATAATCCGAGAATTAATGAAAAGTTAATCCCAAAATTACTTTATTCGATATCAATCATTATTAATAACTATTTACTGTTTTCGTTTTTTTTTTTATTAAATTGAGATAATTAGTAATTTTCTAATTTTTAAAAATTAAAAATTAGATTATTATTATATATTTCAAGATGTAATTAGCTAAACATAGCTAATGTTTAATTAATAATAATTAATATCGAAGAGATTAACGAGGAAAAAGCTCACTACTTTTTTTTCACGCAGAAGCCAACATTACTACACTTTTGTGACAAAGAAAAAAGAATTTTTAAAATTTGGCCTAAGTCCGTAATTGGGGTTTACTCTAATGATACGACTTAGTTCTTAAAAGGAGCCTTATAAAATACGGACTTGTTTTACTCTTGATATATTAGTGATTGGAATAATTATGAAAACAATGATAATAATCATGATGTATATTACGCTAATAGTGATAATGATAGCAGTAAATCCTTTACTTCTGTCGCATTTGCAGATATTGTGAAATTGACTTTTCTGTTGATCCTTGAATTAAAGATCCGGAAACCGATATAATTTCTGAGAATCTAATCGAAAAAACTGTATAATCATGTATAAAAATCCCCGTCAAAAAGTTTACTTTTTCTGTGAGAAAAATAAATTCAATTAATTTATTTACATAGTCTATAATTTTAGTTAAAAAATCTTTTCCTTTTTTTCTATTTTTTTCAATATATACAGAATATGAAGAGATTGATCATGATATCAATTGAAAAAAGAGGCAATACTTCATATAAAGATAAATCAAAGTAGTAATAAGTTGAAAAAATTAATAACAGTACTTTTTCATATATATAACTCCATATTCAAAAATTTATTTCGATAATTTAAAAATCGATATTGAACGGAATTATACCGATTTCTAGTTAGGTTTGGATATTTTAGACTTTTTCTCACTAATTTTTATTACGTGTCTTCCGATCGCACAATAATTTGAAGAAAAGAGAATGCGAAGTGCTATATGCAAAAGGACTAGAGACTACGTTGTTGTCAGAATTAAGTAATAAAAAACAAAGACTATGATATATTATTGAATAAACAAAGAGCGTTTCCAAAGAAACGTCTCTAGCGATCTCTTTTGTACTTTTTTGATTAAAGATTTATTACAATCGCTCATTCGTTCATTAGATTGTGATGTTAAATATGAATGAATGAGTGAATGCATGTGTGTATCGGGTGTTCGATAATAATCTTAACGCTTAAACATACGTGCTACTTTTGTTTACTCTTTAATTTCTCCCTCAACGCTTTTTATAAAAGTTCGCATAGTGTTATCTATAATATTTAACACAATTGTGAACCACACTTATGCGGAGAATTTAATATACCGTCATCATCATTATCATTATTAAATAATAATACATTATATTCTCCGCATAAAATTAAAACTACATCTTTTTTCTTCACAGAGCAAAGTACAATTTTTCAAATCCATTACTTATTTTTTTTCTATCAACATACCATTGGAGATAAGCGCTCTGGATAATTGCGCGATCTTGATCATTAAAAAGAGGTTGATCATTAAAGAGAGATATCGTTGTTCATGTGTTTAGCTACTCTTTAACGCAAATCTGAGTTGTAATAATAAATTAAGAACGATTATATACGGAATTTGACTTTTTTAAATTATTATTCTTGAAGATCTTATCTCGAATGTGTCGGAATTAGCGTGATTGTACAGGGTGTCCCGTACCAATTCTCAAGATTTTTTGGCTAAAAAAATTAGACGAAATACTTATATTTAATTCAATATTTACTTAATTGAGAATTTACATTTAATCTTTTTGTTACAGAAAAATCTAAAAAGTAAGAAAAATAAAATTTTATAAGCTATTTGCATCTATTTAATTTAATTTACGAAAATCTCATTATCTCCAATGATTAAAATCAAACTATATTTATTAATATAATTTTTAAACGATTATTATATGTATTACTCAAAAGTTAATTATTCAAAAATTACTCGTGTCTAAATAGTCTTTCTTTTTAATGAGAAAAAGAGAAAACTTAACACCCTGTATTATTTTGTTGGTTATAATACAATGGAACTCCTTTATTTTGTCTCCTGTTATTCTGAATTAGCTACACTTCAGTAAACTGGAATTTTTACGCTATTCTTCTATTAAATTTATCACATGATTACATGATTATATATAAAGTGAGAAAACCAATAAAAGAGAAAGAACACAATATTTTTTTTTGCAAGAGTACCATCAGAATAAAATGCGAATTTAGGAACAGTTCCAGAATAACAGGGGGCTATGGTCTAGCCAAATTTAAAATAGAGGAATTCAATTATAATGGGACACGCGTCAAAAAATTATTCGAAAATTTATTCATCCGAACGTTTCCGCAAAATTCCGCAATTTTGTAGGAGAGAAAATGTAAATTTTTTTCTCTCGTTCGAAATTACATTTTTACAAACTATTTGTGAAAAAATGTTATTTTCAATAGCCTAACAATTAAATTTCTATTATGCAAAACGGCTCGATAATATATAACAAACGACAATGTTCTCCACTTTCGCTCACTGTCACTGGCAATGAATTATATAACACTTATACATATAATGTATTGTTTGAAGATTTTTATGCTAATATATAACATACTCAACATTCTTTTCAAGAAAATTAAATTCGTGCTTTCTTCTGATATTCCATTCTAGTAAAATAATTATTGCATTAACTTTCTTGAGTAATATTATTTAAGCATTCATATAACAAAAATTTTGAATAAAAATTTCAACAAAAAAAATTTCCACATTTGCATTATTTTACTATTTTATAATTGAAAATTTGTAGTAAATTTATAATTTAATTAGACATTTTTAAAAATGTATAGCAATAGTTCAATAATTAATTATTTTAATTTCATATAATAATTTAAATTTTTATTACGTCAATAATTAATTAATTTTTGATAATTATTGATTTTAAAGCATATTGAGGACAGTTTATATAAATCTGGATTTAAATTTCACACATTTTTACTTGTACGGTGAATAGTGATATAATACAGTTTTCAATTTTTTAGTAAATTGGTACATTGCCAGTGAATATGTATGGACGTAGTAGTTTTTCTGTATCGAGTTATTCATAAAGTACAGAATTTACGTGTATTATAGTTTACATTTTATATATAATTCTAGCTATTTTATCATTTTTAGCCAAGAGTAAACTTGTAAGAACGGAGATGCTTCTCATGTCAGTCGCAATACTTCTCTCTTAGGATTATCATACTATTCATCTTCAGTATCACCATCACTGCTGTAATCCTGCAGAGTGGGTGGTCTTGAAAAGGGTGCTTCGTTGGTTTGACTACAACATTAAAAAAAGATATTAAAATATGCCAAGAATAATCTCTACTTTCTTCTTTTAAATTTTCACTTGATCTCTAAGCATTAAAAGTATTAATTATTTTACATAGTCTAGTATTAATCTAATTTTTTAAAGAAAATAAAAAGTCAAAAAAAAATATTATAATAATCATATAATTAAAAATGTTTAATTATATTATATTAAAAATGTTTAATTATGTGATTATATATTATAGTAATATTTATATTTAATTATAATATTATTAAATTATAATTATCAAGAATATTTTTTAATTATAATTTTAAGCTTTTTTCCAAATTTAGTTTATCTTTTTTAAATTATTTTAAATTATTTTCTAAGCTTCTCTGTATTGTGACTATGACTTTCAAGGAATTAACGAGATAGACATTACTCACGCTAATCTACGATAATGATTTAACCATTCTTCCAACATCTGCGCAACGAGTAGTGGTCTTTTGTGAAGCTTCTGATGCGCGACAAGAATTCCACCTTCGGTCCTGCATACATCCAACCATTCCTTGTAGATGGATTCCTCGCGACCAATCTCGTCCGCCGTGAGAAAGTGTATTGGTAGGAGTTTATGCTCACGGTCCATTAGCGGCATGAAGGTGGTTTGCATCTGGATTTGCAATTGTTCGAGCGAACTATTATTACTACTTACCACCCCATGAGACGCTAAGGGTGGTATTCTGGACGAAGTGTACGGCTCAATTGGCACCAATGCCGTAAAGTGACCGCGAGTGTAACCCAAAGCGATCGGTGAGCGAATGCAGAATGAAGGTTCCCAGAGCAATGGAAGATAGACGCCCTCGAATCTTGCATAGCCTAGAAAAATGGAAAATGGAAATCATCGATTATATTTTAAAATCAATATACTTTCAAATCTTTAAATATTTTTAAAACTTTAGATTTAAAACAATCTTTGTTTTTGAAATATTAAAAAGAACCTTAAATTTAAAAAATTGTTGAATTGTTTTCGAAATCTTTATATATAGTCTGTAAAATTTTTAAAAAAAGCAAGATAAATTTTATCACTTATAAAACTTTCTATTGTTAAGATTTTACTATTGAGATTTTCACATAAACTTAAGAAAATAATTGTTAATTTAAGTTTAATTATGATTATAAGTCTTCTAATAAAGATTTACAGTTTTTAAGAAAAAACTGTAAATCTTTAATAGAAGACTTAAAAGGAATTATACATAAAAGAATTATAAATCTCTCAGCAGATAATTTTAATTTAATAAAATTATTTTAATTTGTTAAGAAAATACTTGGAAATCAATTAATAATTATTAAACAAACTTTATTTTAATTTACCTATATCTTCACCACGAAAGCTTTTAACATATTTAACTCCGTAGACGATAATGGGTCGTCTTAAAATGTGGGCAAGAGCAAATACATGCAATTGTTCTAACGCACTTCCAGGTTGAGCGGCTGTTGCCAATAAATTTTCCCAGTCTTCTTGCCATTGTGTTTCTTCTAAAGTAAAATCTAACATTCTAGCTGCCTGCGAGGCTTCGTATTCTCTCCATCGAGGATAAAAGCTAAAATAATATTATATATTTAAATATATATTTGAAAACCATTTTATCAATTTGCATATTATTCAAGCATTATTATTATTATTATTATTATTATTAAGATACTATATAATATCTATATAGTATCTTAAATTTCATTCACATAAAGATATATGTTTTTATTACATCATTAATTAAACTAATTTAATGAACTTACATTACATTAAATTAATTATAAAGCGCTTACAATTGTCCGGCTTGTTGCAGAGTGTCAGCGAGCGCTCTTCTCAAGGCGTTATCCCTATCAAAAACACCCCAGGTTGCCTGCATGGCAGAGTCTAGAAGGCAGTCTCCGGCCGATCGATTCCAAAGTGCGTGTAAACGGCTGCCTAATCGTTCAGTAATTTCTAAGGACCAATTTAGAGCTGGAGGTTCACCTCCACCACCTTCTAATTGCTGTTGAGCTTCCTTATCTAATAATTCTTCCAACATCTGCTCTTGCACGATACTCGGTAAGTCTTCAACCTTGAAATATATCAAGCAATCTCTATGTAGGAAAATAATATCAATATATTTGTTTTTAATAAATGTCGATATTGAACACTCAAAGAAGTTTAAAAGAAAATGATTAAAGGATGGAAAATTGAGAATGTAGAAATTTTGAAGATTGGAAGAAATTTAAAATATAAAAATATAGAAATTTAGAGAAGTTTAAGAAGAAACTATTTAAAGGATGAAAATTAGAAGTTTAAAAACAAATATTATTTAGTAATTAAAATTATTTTAGTTTTCAATTAAAATTTACATTAAATTATTATATATGTATTAAAATAACCTCGGCTGGCAGCGCGAAGGTGGCCATATCGGTGACAAAATAACAGGGAAAGGAACCTTTACGTAAGCGTATACTATTGGTGACGTGTCGGCGAATCTGCACCGCAAGATCTGGCGCAACATAGCTTGGTACCCTCTTCACACCCGAACCCGAACCCTCGATTTGCGACAACAATGTTGCTAAAATATCTTCTCTTTGAAACCTTAAAATTGTATCAATTAAATTATAAGAATATTGAATTACAGATTTTTATATATTTGCAGAGTATCGGCGAGCATCTTACTTAAAACTTATCGAAAATATCTCAAATGACTTGCACAATGAAGATTTTGTTTATAATATTATATTTATAATCATGTGTAATAAATAAAATATGTGTAAATAATAAAATAATCGATTATATGAGAATACATTTTAAGAGAAAAAAGTATAAGCTAATATGAACAAAAACCATTTATTTTCTTTTTTTTCTTGATTCAAGAAAATATGTTTAGCATGTTTATATTCTAATTTTATTATTTCTAATTTTTTAAATTTCTTTAACGATATATTCAAATGTTTCTTTTTTTTCATTTAGAGAAATCACACACTATCTCTCTATATTTTTAAAATTTTATTTAATTTATTAATTTACTAAAAATTTAATTTTTCTATGTACCTAATAGCCAAGTGCACTAAGGTGTGCCCGACGTCAAACGCGCTACTTCTATTGAGGAGCAAAACCTCAGAATGCGTCAGTTGACGAGCGGGATCACCACCGCTCGCCAGGTAAGCTTCGACGGGAGTGTTGTCACCCTCGACAATACCGAGACAAGCATTGAGCCAACACCAATCGGTGTGGCGTTTCAACTGCTTCAATCGGCGCTCGTAATCACAGTTATTCGGGGATTGAGGAGTCGACAGGCTGTCATTTCGACTGTCTGCATATCTATGTGAGCCTCTGAAAAGTGTTACATTATTGTAAATATATATATGTTATAATATATATTTTTAGAAAAATATATCAATTTTCACAGAATATATTACATATGAATATTTAGTGGATTTTTTGTGTGAATCTACATATAACATTATATGTAATAAATTCGAAATGGAATATTGAAAATGTGAACATATTTTGACTAATTATTTTAGTATCCTTAAGTATTTTCTCTTGACAGTATATTTTTTCTGTAAATATTACACATACACACAAGAAATATATAACATTGAATAATAGGAAAAATTATATCTTTCATAATTCCAAAACTATATAATATTTGCAAAGAGAAATGTAATATACAAAATGTAATATAATTTATTTACCTCCTTCCTATCGCCAAATTATCTTCTCTCTGTGTTTGATGAATATAGGATGCATGCAGCGGAGGTGACGGCAGGCTCCGTTGACTGTGCTCCCTCTCGGGACTCGGTAAAATTACTCCTACATTTCCTTGTGTATTTTTATCCCTCCTATCTTTCTCCTTTAGATGACCACACATGATGCATTTAGTCGCTTTTGGCCAGTTCTCATAAGTACACACGTGGCAAGACCACTTTTCTGGATGCATATTATATAACCTTTCCGGATGGAGATTGATTGGCGAAGGATTCAACTGGGAATTTGATCCCGAGTTTGGCGGCCCATCGGCCAATCGTAGTGGTGCTAAATGTTCATGCAGATTCGAGGCTAACGAATTAACAGATTGATTGACCGGTTTACGATTGCTGCACTGAACGCAACGTGTTGTATTCTGATAATTAAGATAAGTGCACATGCTACAGGCCCACTTTCCTGCAGAAGGTAAATTCTGACTATAATTTTGCGAGATGTAGTTATCTGTAGGGCTTATCTGGGGCACAGGACCAGAAGCAACATTTGAGGAACCTCTTTGAGGGCTAGGATCCCGAAGACGATATATGTCTTCACCTAGGAGAGGTTTTGCGCCCCTACACATAGTGCATTTTAAAGAAGAGGGCCAGTTTTCATAAGTGCAGTACTCGCAGATCCATTTCTGCTCTGTTTCTTCAAGTCTGCTGGTCATCTTCACTAGATGAAGATTAATTAACAGAGTTTTTGGTCTCTTTACTATGGAGGATACAGTACTTCTTGCAGAAGGAAATATTAGATGAAAGATGTGCACTGAGTATTAAATATCCTAAATATCTTGACTGTATCTTCTATGCCTTGTACATGATTTATTAGGAAATTTGTATCTTAGTGTTTAATTTTTTTTCTATATATGGTCCAATTTATGCTATGTGATCAGCATTATGTTTGATTGTGATGAGATAAAGATGCTAGCGATATGCCAATATGGACATCGATGGAAGAATCTAAAAAGAGAAATAACAAAATTTCTATTAAAAATCTGTTATAAAACTTTCATATATTTTTTATATATTTATAAGAAAAATCCTGAATGAAATAGAAAAATCAGGATTGTTCTAAGTCAGATATCTTGCATGTAACATCTCTAGAATTTTTCTTCTCAATTATACAAAAAAAAATTTTTGTCCATTATTCAAAATGTTTTCTAAATGATTTAAAATTTCTACTTATTTATCTTGTTTAAAGAAAAGTTGTTACATTATACATGTATATATTATGAAGCAAAATACAGGGAACACTTTGGTTAATTTTAAGTTTTGTTGAAAACTTTCTGTCAATAAAATTAAGCAAGTTTTGATGCACGGAAAAAAATAAAATATAGAAAATGAGAAAAATGTAATTGAAATAAGCAGATATAATTAACAAAACGTAATATTATGAATCAATATTTATATTAAATATTCATTATTAGATAATGCGACATCCAATTTAATATTTATCTTTTATATGCACGATAATGGGACATATCCAATTTGATTATATTTTCTGTTTTTTGCGTTACATATCTAAAGTATCCGTCAATTCAACTTTTACATAAATTTCATATCTCATGTTATTTCATAACAATATTAATATTTAAAATGGCTTAATTTTTTTAGGTATATCTTGTGCTACAATATATAAACATTTTAGATAATTATTATGCTTTTTTTCTCTTTGTTTACATGCATACATTTTGCAAACATGGTCTTTTTATATGTCGCGTGACGAATATAAAATCTGTACGACCATGTACATACTTGCTTTTTAATTTCTTCATTTGCTTGAAAAACAAATCTACAAGTAAATATTTGGAATATTCAAATTCGAAGTGCCTTGAATCTGCTCTTTTTTCAGTTATACTCAATTAAGTCGGGAGAACACGCGACACCGCGTGATTCCCTAGATCCTTTATATCTGCTCATCGAAGCGTCTCGTCGGTAAACCTAACCTATCGGAGAACGAGAAACTTCGATCTATAGTACAAAGAAAGGTAACGAGTTTAAAAGTTAAAAATTGCATTATTTTCAGACAGTCTGGTACGCTACCTCGTCGGATCGGTAACCTTGATGTTATCCCGAACCACCTCGGAGCTCTCGCGCGCCGAAAACTATCGTCACACTGGACTATCCTCCATTGAGAGATCTTTCAAATTGACACTATCCAATCGACTCGTGTATCATTCGTGCGCCAACGAATGATGCCTTCGGACGCACCACCTCGCATTCGGGACGCAGGTAGGTTAGAGAGCCAGTACGCGCACACGCACGTACACGCATACGTCGATTTGACGCGACAGACGAGAAAAAAAGAAATATCCGGAATCGCGCGTAGCGAGAGAGATTCGCTCTCTCTCTTCCTTCAAAATTATCCCAGGAACGATCGAACGGTCACCAGGTCGCGGACGCCGAGATGAAAACGCAAGGGGGACCTCTCGTCTCGATGAAGACACGGACAGAAGACAGAAGCGCGGAGTTGCTGTCACTGTGCGCGACCGCGTCACGACATCGTCTACGAGTGTTCGCGCGCGCGCTCACGACGCGTCGTTCCCGAGCCAGCGTTTCTCTCGATGCTGGAGTAAACTGCTTCGCGAACTGCTGCGACGGCGACGACGACGGCGACGACGACGACGATTTCGCTCGCTGGCCACGGAAGTAGGTTTTGACAGTCATCCGCAAACAGACGGACGCCAGTGCTGCCAACCGTTCGGCCGCTCTCTCGCGTACCGTTACGTCACTCAGGCGCATGCGCGGCCGATCCTAATTTCAATCTGTCAAGTGCTCACGAGCGCGCGAAGACGGCCTAACCTTATCTCCTGTGGAATCAGCTGTATGTCGCGCGATGTTCTCTCGTTGGAAAAGTAAGCTTGATGCAATTTCGATGATTAGCGATTCTTAATTTTAAACTCCGTCGATTTGCACGTGAGACGATTTTACTCTAATTCAACTCTGTTTAACCTCAATCTTTTTGTCGAGCCTCTCGTTTTTTCCGCGCTTTCTCTTTCTTCTATTCGCGATAATTGAAATTGTAGTAACGTACAATTGTACGAATGTAAATAATTTAAATGATTAACACCGATTGACGGAGTCTAACCTCAAAACTCCTCGTGTTCTTGTCGATTCCTGTCTCGTGGCGAGAAACGCAAATAAACTCGATAAATCGCGCTAGGATCCAAGTAGGATTTAACAACTTGGTTTGATTATTTATGCAAACAAAGATGCCACTGTTGCCAACTGATTTGGTAATCCCGTTACATCACGCGAGGCTGACTTCGTTTTGAAACGTATTGTTCGCATCATTTTATTGTCGTGCCATTTCGCAAAAAGTTACTGATAACAATTCGAAAGAGATCCGTTTCCGGAAATCGCAGAAAAATGCTGTCTAGCTTTTCATTCGCGTTGTTGAATTTGACTCGTAAGTTTGTATAAATAATATCCGCAAATTAAATTCGCGCTGTCAGATTTTAATTTTCACTTTGATTAACGATTCTCCGCGAGATAAATTCTAATTGAAGTGGAAAAACCCGAGATGCGCTCGATGGTTTTCTAGCGGAGCTAATTTATTATTTATAAGTGTCTCGGGCCCTCTGCCAAATGTGAGACCACTAAACCTAAACATTTATCCTTGACATTTTGTCAACAAGATCGTGACATTGTACCGATCTCTTGGCGAGATGCTATAAAACGGCTTTCCCGCGTCAATATACATAGATTATTATCTTCCAAGGTCTACGTTATCACATGTAAATGAATTTATTCGTCTTAGCTTTACATCTTTTCAAGTGTTAAAGAGGAACATAGGAGATTTTCTTTTCAACACTCATTCAACAAGTATATACATATATTCGTTTTATTGTAGAAATTTCTGGAAAATTGCGAGCAACAATCTCGTGTTTCACATGTCATTTGCTTATGATTGACTTGTGACAATCAGCTGAGACGCGTCAACTATGGAAGACGCGTCAACTACAAAGAAAGCATCAACCATGCAGCTACCTGACTACCTGACTAATTGTAAGATTTATAATCCATCATCAGATGTAAACGTAACAGTGGATGGATTGGTGCTGCAGGTGCTATACGGAAGTGAGACGGAAACTGCACAGGATGTTGCTGAAGAGATTTGGAAGAGTGCCCAAAGGTTTTGTTTTTATTCCCCTTTTTGGCACATGAACCTTAAATTCTTCTCTAAAAAAATTTTTGGCACATAAATTCTCTCTCTCCCCCCCCCCCTTTCTCCTTCTCTCTCTTTCTACCTTATACCTTTAAATCTTTAAATAATCTTCAAATAGATATTCAAATTTATACTTCTATTATATCTTTAATATCTTTTATTCTTTTTGCACACTTTTAGTTTTTGCTTTAATTGTATATAAAACAGTATACTCAATGAAAGATAATTTATCTATTTAAGTTATAAATGTATAATTAATATATTTATTAGTCGTTACAATTATAAATTATTAATAATTTTATTAATAGTAATTATTAATTATAAAAAATAGATATATTTATAAAATCAAATTATATATTTTATAAATATTAAAATAAAATATCTTAAAAATTATTATCTAATTTAAAAAATAACTCTGAAACATGTTATATATTTTACAATTTTTAAAAAATACACAATATTCTATACTATATAAAGTTTTTTAAATTTAGAATATCTTATTATGAAACTTTGAATATAAATTTAACATTTTGTTTTTAAAGAAAACAAAGGCAATGCACTGTATCATCTTTGGACAAATACGACATGCGAAACCTGTCTTCCAGACAATTAATTGTCTTTGTTGTTGCAACTACTGGACAAGGAGATCTTCCAGCTAATATGAAAACATTTTGGAAACATCTACTAGACAAGAGTCTGTGGACAGATCAGCTGCGAAATCTAAACTATGGCATACTTGGTTTGGGTGATAGTTGCTCTCCAAAATTCAACTTTGCTGCAAAGAAATTAAACATACGTCTTGCACAATTGGGTGGCAAAGAATTATTACCCATTGGATTTGCTGATGATCAAAATGATTTGATGATTAATGCTCTAGTGAATTGCTGGATTAAGGAATTGTGGGAAAAAATTGCAAAAGTGTTTAAAATTTCTGTAGAAGACAAAATTCAGGATAATTTAATAATTGAAAAATATCATATCTCTATATATAATGATCATATTTTACATTCAGGTCTTTTAGATGGCGGATTGATATTATGGCCATCAAAGAGCGATATCTATTATCAAGAAATAGACACAAATGTGAATATTAATGTGAATATTAAAACAGGATCAATATATAACAATGTAAGAACCACTTCAATAGATCATTTTCAAGAAGTTAGATTAATAACTATTGAATTACCACATAAAATTAAGTATGATCCTGGAGATATTATTTATGTTAGACCAAAAAATTCTATAGAACAAGTGAGACGATTTTTTAATATACTTTACGGACACAATATACAACTGTTTCCAAATACAATGGTTGAAGTGAAGAAGAAAGAAATAAAAGTTCCTCTTGCTTTGCAATGTCGCTTACCTTTAAAGGAAATAGTTGAACAATATTGGGATCTGAATTTTAAGCCACGACAATCTACAATGCATACTTTGTCTCTTATCAGTGAAGATAAATTAGAAAAGAAAAAATTATATAAATTTGCTAGTCCATGTGATCAAGAAGAGCTTTATAATTATATATACAAGCCAAGAAAAAATATTTTGGAGGTCCTCATGGATTTTCCTCATACAACTAGTAAACTAAATATTCGATTATTATTTGAAATTATGTCACCCATAAGACCACGTCCTTATAGCATCGCTTCTAGCTCAAAAGCTACTCCAGATAAGATTCAAATTTTAGTAGCAGTAGTTGACTATAAAACTAGATTATTGGAGTCAAGATTTGGTTTATGTTCAAAATGGCTAAAAAATTTAAAAATAAATGACAAAGTGACATTTCGGATTCAAAAGGGAACTTTTCGATTTGAAGATAATAAGCCGATAATTATGATTGGTCCTGGAACTGGAGTTGCTCCATTTAGATCATTTCTTTTGGAGGAAGAAGAAAAGAAAAAAGACTTGAAGGAATGCGTTCTGTTTTTCGGGTGCCGAAAGAAGGATAAGGATTATCATTGCAGGGAAGATTTTGAACGCTTAGCAGAGAAGACAAATTTGAAAGTGTTTTGTGCATTTTCTAGAGATCAAGATTATAAAATGTAAGTCATTCACAATTACTTAGAAAACAAGAATGTAAAATTTATAAAGTTATAATTATTATTTTTATAATCTTATCGTTAGTATTTAATTTCCTTAACTGCTAATTATACTTTTAATATATATATTGTATCTTTTCAGATATGTGCAACATATTATTCGTGAACAAAGAGAGCTATGTTGGCAATTTTTGCAAAATGATGGCAGTATTTACTTGGCAGGAAACTCTAAAAATATGCCGAATGACGTGCGTGATGAATTCGTTGATTTGGCAAAAGAAATCGGTAAAATGACGGAAGAACAGGCAGAAAAGTTCATCAAGGATCTAGAAAAGAAAAATCGATATCAAATCGAGATTTGGGATTGAAAAGAGGATTGGTAAATAAAAAAAAATTACATCTTCAGGAAAAATGTTTAATATATATCAAGGATTCTTTGTCCAAAAAAAGAGAGTGTATATATATATTTTTTTTTCTTTTCATCTATATGATATTAATGTATATTATCTGCATACTAGTTCATTCGGATACACATGATTAATATTTGTATATACCTGTTGGTTTTCTATAATATAGTATCACTATATGCACATATCAGAATGGACTTTGAAAAGATAATACTTGAAAATACTTTCACATTTTAATTAATTTAATATTGTAATTATCATCAATCATATCAGAATAGACTTTGAAAAGACAATACTTGAAAATACTCTCACATTTTAATTAATTTAATATTGTAATTATCATCAATCATTTTTCTGTAAATAAGAATTTCTGATAAGATATATGCATTTATAGATATTTATGTACATATGTTAATAAATTTTTATATTCACTTTTTTCATAGTTATATTAAAAACGTTATATTAAAAACTAATTAGTAACATAATTAATGGGTAGTAAATTAATAGTAAAATAATTAGTATAATTAATGGGTAGTAAACATTAATAAGATTAATGGGTATTGACTGATAAGTTCTCTTTATTTTTTCACATGTGTATGTCGCTTTTTTTACGCCTCCTTTTCGAACTTCGTAAACGTCGGCGATCTCTGGCGCTCTTCATGAGAGACGCTGGGCAGCATATCTCGATGAACAACTCACTTAGTATCAGGCCAGGTCTACAATAGATAATTTAAGCCCTAAAGGCTATAGCACACAATTTCCGTAAGACATAACAGTAAGATTTCGACCAATCGCGTTGCTCAATTTGGCCGTCCTTAACCAAATTGAGCAACGCGATTGGTCGAAACCTTACTGTTATGTCTTATGAAACGTGTGTGCTATAGCCTTAAGAAATTGACCAATCACAGTCGAGTATTCTCTTCATACTTGACTGTGATTGGTCAATCTCTTAAGGCTCGAGGCTTAAATTGCCTATTGTAGATCCGGCCTTACGGACACATGAATCGCTCATATGATCGTTACCCCCTCCACTCGCGGTTACGTGTTGCTGGCGTCTAGCGTTCTGATATCACTGCTTGAGCGCATGCGCGGCCGATCCTAAGAAAAGTGTTTACGAGTGCACGAAAACATGTCTAACCTTATCTCCTATGGAATCAGCTGTAAGTCGCGCGACGTTTTCTCATTGGAAAAGTAATTTCGATGATTAGAGATTCTTAATTTTAAACCGTCGATAACGATTTGCACGTGAAACAATTTAGTCTAATCCCAACTCTATTTAACCTCAATCTTTGTCGATTCTCCCGTTCTTTCCGCGCTTTCCCTTTCTTCTACTCGCGATAATTGAAATTGCAATAACGTACAACTGTACAAATGTAAATAATTTAAATGATTAACACCGACGTAGGCCGATATTCACAGTTCGATCTTATATTTAAGATTGTCTTAAGTCTGGTCCGAGGTTGACTTAAGACCTCATTCAACCAATCAAATGACTGCGTAGCATTTCAAGCTCGAACTTAAGACGATCTCAAATATAAGATCGGACTATGAATACCGGCCGCAGTCTAACTTCAAAACTCCTCGTGTTCTTGTCGATTCTTGTCTCATGGCGAGAAACGCAAATAAACTTGATAAATCACGCTAGGACACAAGTAGAATTTAATAACTTGATTTTGATTATTAATGCAAACAAAGATGCCACTGTTGTCAACTGATTTGGTAATCCCATTACATCATGCTAGGCTGATTTCGTCTCGAAACGTATTGTTCGCATCATTTTATTGTCTTGCCATTTCGTCGCAAAAAGTTACTGATAACAATTGGAAAGAGATCTGTTTCCGGAAATCGCAAAAAAATGCTGTCCAGCTTTTCATTCACATTGTTGAATTTGACTCGTAAGTTTGTATAAATAATATCCACAAATTAAATTCGCGCTGTTAGATTTTAATTTTCACCTTTATTAACGATTCTCCGCGAGATAAATTCTAATTGAAGTAGAAAAACCCGAGATGCGCTCCATGGTTTTGTAGCGGAGCTAATTTATTATTTATATGTGTTTCGGGCCCAATGCCAAATGTGAGACCACCAAACCCAAAACATTTATCCTTGACATTTCGTCAACAAGATCGTGTCATTATACCGATCTCTTGGTGAGATGCTATAAAACGGCTTTCCCGCGTCAATATACATAAATTATTATCTTCCAAGGTCTGGTCTATGTTATAATGTTTTCACATGTAAATCTTTTATCAGTTTATCTGTTTTAGCTTTACATCTTTTGAAATGTTAAAGAGGAACATGGGAGATTTTCTTTCCAACGCTCAAATATATACATATATTCATTTCATTGCAGAAATTTCTCGGAATTTACAAGCAACAACCTTATGCTTCATTTGCTCACGATTGACTTGTGACATTGCAACTAGCTGAGACGTATCAACTATGGAAGACGCATCAACTATGGAAGACGCATCAACTATGGAAGATGCATCAACTATGAAGAATGCATCAAGTAGGGAGGATGTGTCAAGTATGGAGGACACATTAAGTTCGGAGGACGCGTCAAGTGTAGAGGACGCATCAATTACAGAGAATGCATCAACCATGCGGTTACTTGAGTACCAAATACCTGTCTACCATCTACCTGACTACCTCACTAATTGTAAGATTTATAATCCGCTGTCAGATGTAAATATAACAGTGGATGGATTGGTGCTGCAAGTGCTATACGGAAGCGAGACGGGAACTGCACAGGATGTCGCTGAACAGATTTGGAAGAGTGCACAAAGGTTTTGTTTTTATTCCCTTTTTTGGCAATTTAAGGCACATGAATCTTAAATCCTTTTCTGAAAAAATTTTTGGCACGTAAATCCTCTCTCTCTCTTTCTCTCTCTATCTTTCTTTCACCTCTTCTCTCCCTGTCTGTCTTCTTCTCTTTTTCTAATTTTATATCTTTAAATAATCTTTAAATAGATATTCAAATTTATACTTCTATTGCATCTTTAATGTCTTTTATTTTTGCACACTTCTAGTTTTTGCTTTAATTGTATATAAAACAATATATTTGATGAAAGATAATTTATCTATTTAAGTTATAAATGTATAATTGATATATGTATTAGTCCTGACAATTATAAATTATTCATAATATTATTAATATTAATCATCAATTATAAATAATAGATATATTTATAAAATCAAATTATATATTTTATAATTATATATTTTATAAATTTCGAAATAAAAAAATCTTAAAGATGCATAAGTATTATCTAATTTAAAAAATTATTCTGAAACATGTTATATAATATTTTAAAATTTTTTAAATACACAATATTCTACATTATAAAGTTTTTTTAAATTTGGATATCTTATTTTGAAACGTTGAATATAAATTTAACATGTTCTTTTTAAAGAAAACAAAGGCAAAGCACTGTATCATCTGTGGACGAATACGATATGCGAAACCTGTCTTCCAGACAACTAATTGTCTTTGTTGTCGCAACTACTGGACAAGGAGATCCTCCAGCTAATATGAAAACATTCTGGAAACGTCTACTAGGCAAGAGTCTGCGGACAGATCTGCTGGAAAATCTAAACTATGGCATACTTGGTTTGGGTGATAGTTCCTATCCAAAATTCAACTTTGCTGCAAAGAAATTAAACAAACGTCTTGCACAGTTGGGTGGCAAAGAATTATTACCCATTGGACTTGCTGATGATCAACATAATTTGGGAATTGATGCTGTAGTGGATCCCTGGATTAAAGAATTGTGGGAAAAAATTGCAAAAGCATTTAAAATTTCTGTAGAAGACAAAATTCAGGAAAATTTGATAATTGAAAAATATCATGTTTCCATATGTAATTCACATATTTTACATTCAGGCATTCTAGATGACGGATTGATTTTATGTCCATCAATGAGTGATATCTATTATGAAGAAATAAAAACAAATGTGAATATTAAAATAGGATCAATATATAACAATGTAAGAACTACTTCAACAGATCATTTTCAAGAAGTTAGATTAATTACTATTGAATTACCATATAAAATTAAGTACAATCCTGGAGATGTTATTTATGTTAGACCAAAAAATTCTATAGAACAAGTGAGGCGTTTTTTTAATATACTTTACAGACACAATATACAACTGTTTCCAAATACAATAGTTGAAGTAAAAAAGAAAGAAATAAAAGTTCCACTTGCTTTGCAATGTCGTTTATCTTTAAAGGAAATAGTTGAACAATATTGGGATCTGAATTTTAAGCCACGACGATCTACAATGCATACTTTGTCTCTTATCAGTGAGGATAAATTAGAAAAGGAAAAATTATATGAATTTGCTAGTCCATGTGGCCAAGAAGAGCTTTATAATTATATAAACAGGCCAAGAAGAAATATTTTGGAGGTCCTCGTGGATTTTCCTCATACAACTAGTAAACTAAATATTCAATTATTATTTGAAATTATGTCACCCATAAGACCACGTCCTTATAGCATCGCTTCTAGCTCAAAAGCTACTCCAGATAAGATTCAAATTTTAGTAGCAGTAGTTGACTATAAAACTAGATTATTGGAGCCAAGATTTGGTTTATGTTCAAAATGGCTAAAAAATTTAAAAATAAATGACAAAGTGACATTTCGGATTCAAAAGGGAACTTTTCGATTTGAAGATAATAAGCCAATAATTATGATTGGTCCTGGAACTGGAGTTGCTCCATTTAGATCATTTCTTTTGGAGGAAGAAGAAAAGAAAAAAGACTTGAAGGAATGCATCCTGTTTTTCGGGTGCCGAAAGAAGGATAAGGATTATCATTGCAGGGAAGATTTTGAACGCTTAGCAGAGAAGACAAATTTGAAAGTGTTTTGTGCATTTTCTAGAGATCAAGATTATAAAATGTAAGTCATTCACAATTGCTTAGAAAACAAGAATGTAAAATTTATAAAGTTATAATTATTATTTTTATAATCTTATCGTTAGTATTTAATTTCCTTAACTGCTAATTATACTTTTAATATATATATTGTATCTTTTCAGATATGTGCAACATATTATTCGTGAACAAAGAGAGCTATGTTGGCAATTTTTGCAAAATGATGGCAGTATTTACTTGGCAGGAAGTTCTAAAAATATGCCAAATGCCGTGCGTGATGAATTCGTTGATTTGGTAAAGGAAATCGGTAAAATGACGGAAGAACAGGCGGAAGAATTCATCAAGGATCTAGAAAAGAAAAGTCGATATCAAATCGAGACTTGGGGTTGAAAAGAGGGTTGGTAAATCAAAAAAGCATCTTCAGGAAATATGTTTATTGTATATCAGGGATTTTTTGTACAAAAAAGAGAATATACATATTTTTTTTCTTTTCATCTATATGTATAATATTAATGTATATTATCTGTATATTATTTCATTCGGATACACTTGATTAATATTTGTATATATATCTGTTTTGTATCATATCATTATATACATTTATAGAATAGACCTTGACAAGATAATACTTGACACTACTCTCATATTGTAATTATCATCGAGTATTTTTCCGTAAATAAGAATTTTTTATAAACATGCATTTATAGATATATGTACATATATGTACATATGTTAAATAAATTTTTATATTCACTTTTTTTATATTGCATAACATATATTACACTTTCTACTATTTTACGCTACATTCCAGATATATTAAAAACTAAGATTAGTGTGTAACGATTGATAAGTTTTCTTTATCTTTTCACATGTGTACATCGCTCTTTTTACGCCTCCTTTTCGAACTTCGTAAACATTCGGCGATCTCCGGCACTCTTCGCGAGAGGCGCCGAGCGGCATATCTCGATGAACTCTTAACCCCACGACCTAACCTAAAGCAAAAATAGTGGGAATATACGGAAACATGGTGCGGATGCTCGCGTGTCCCGCAGTGCTCCCCGTATCTCGAGCAATCTCGACTCCGTTTAATCGTTGACCGCACCTTTTTATTTATTTTTCTTCATCGCGCGCGATACGATATATGTATGTACAAGCACGAGCAAACAAGCTACTTGAAACGCGGACGACCAATGGACATTCGCACGATTTTTTTTTCGTCGCGCTCTTTGAGCAGTTTAACAGTGTCGATAGCTGACAATAAGCTTGACAAATCGCTCACCAGTAGTCGAGCTTGAAACATATAGTGCAGAAAGGTGCAGTGTTAAGGTTTGTCTTTTTTTTTCTGCATGATTACTTTCCTCTCACTTATAACCTATCCACCCTATCACGAGGAAGACCTTGTTTCGAGATTGTCATATCTAAACTATTTTTACGTAGAAGAGACAGTATTTATTTTTATATCTTAAGTACTCATACTTATTTTAATACTCTGCTAGATTATTTTTAACCTATGTAAAGAATACTAACATGTCCCTGACGATACGTACAATTTCGCAATTATTAAATCGAATATCTGAATAATTTTTTGTATAAAAAATATTTTATTTTATAATTGATTTATAGCTAAAGAAAAACCGTTCATACTTTAATATTATCACCTTATTTTTTCAACTTAATCTACAGTGTAGAATACTAGAAGAATACAGTAAGTAGAATGTCTCTGATTTTTTTATCATTACACACTTTGTAATATGTAAGCTACATTTATAATTTAAAGAAAGTATTTTATTTTGCAATTCAAATTTTATTTATAATTTATTAAGAATATTTTGCATATCTATGGACATTGTGTGCATTAGTATTTTTATTTTTTTATATATTACAATATTCTAATTATACTATTATTATTTGATAATTGTCTAAAATATGTGAATATTTTAAATATAAATATAAGTATTGTTTAATTTAACATTGCCAGATTAATAATATTTATTATAATATTAAATTTCATGAAAGTTTTATGTAAACACATTCTGTGAAACTGTCAAAATATTGATGTATTTCAGAATATAAATATACTAATATTGCTTGAGAACATGCTTGAGAAGAGTGACACAAATAATAATTCTTATAGTTCTTTTAGAATAAATTTAAAAAAGTAAGAATAATAAGAACAATACAAATTATCAAATACTGTTATACATAAATTATCTATAAATTATACACCACATGCTTCTGATATTATTTGTGTCACTCTTCAATTGATCTTTATAGTAGTAGCTTGCTTTGATTTTTCGGATCTGTTTGAACTAAAAATAGACAATTGACTGAATTAAGCTTCTCATGTAGTATATAGTACATACATTCAATCTAGCGATCAATGACTTATGAATCACTAAAGAAACAATGTTTATGTTTCTTGATGTATTCACATGATCTTGTTCTAAAAATCAATTTGATTAATCTTTGATTGAAGAGAATTCAAGTCAAAGTAGAAACTAATACTGCTATAAGGATCAATTTGTTATAAAAAATATGTATGTTGTAAATACTCTTTATAACATCTATGTAAATATATCTAATCTAATCAAATATGCAAAAATTTATTTCTTTATAATTTAAAAATATCTGTATCTTAACATTTATATTAATCATTATAATATTATCTAATCTATAATAATCTTTATAATATTATTAATATTATTATTATATTTTTTATTATTATTAGTATATTAATATTATTATTTTAATATTATTATAATATTATTATAATATTATTATAATATTTAGATCTTATGAAAATTTTATATAAGTTTTTTATAAATTTAAATTTATACTCAAATACAAATTTATATGTAATTTATTTTTATATTTGTGCATTAACAACGTTTGTGATAACATTATCTGAATTTTACGATTATTTATTTCATATAAGCTGTGATATATACTGTGATATAGCATTTGAATAATAAATATTCATGTTTTTCAGACAAAGATAAAATCAGTGCAGAAAGTGTAGATAAATCTATATTCTTTCTAGATACCAATAGTCGAAAGATGTATTAAAGTCATTACAGTCATTGCTGAGATCATCATTAAAGTCGATAGCGTTTGAAGGATCTTTCTTGTATAAAAAAAAAGGATATAAAACAAAAATAGTAAAATGGCGGGCACTTACACGAAGAAAGAATTTGGCGCGGGGCCCGAAGAACAGACTCTGTTAAAGGATTCCAATGGAACCCGCATCGTGGCTACAAAAGGTAATACTGGGACACGCTCTCTCATGTTTACAGGGGAATGCAGTAGCCTTCTCGGAATATTGCTGCTTTTTTGTCATTTTATTTTCTTCGAGTGTATACCTGCCCAAACCAGTCTGTAGAAGAAGTTTATAGACTGCGGATGCAGCATTCTTGGTAGTGAAGTGTTTGTGGGCTTAACATTGGTTTGTAGTTTATTAGATTTTATTTGATTAGAAGCTTATACTTTATGTAGTTTTGTGTAATATATATAATATATTCTCTAATATATATATATATATATATATATATATATATATATATAAATAATATGTGTAGTATGATAATAAGAAAAATTTTAATTTGATAAGAATATATGATAAAGAATCTGAATAGATATAGTTTATGTAATTAGCAATTTAAAATTTTCATGATTTTTTGCATGATATGTAATTTTAAATATCTTATAATTTATAATAATTTTGTGAAATTTAAATAATTCTATGAATTCATCTTTTCTCAATTAATATTTATATATAAAATAATAATTTATAGTCAGTTAGAGAAGAAAAAGTTAGTAAAAGGAAGAGTGATAAGATATTTTAAAGATAACAGCTTCATTTAGATGTTTTCTTTGTCTTTATGCTTGCTCAACTTGAAATATCTAATCATAAATGCTTGGAAATAAACATGCATGGAATGAAAAACGAAAGAGAATCAAAATCTTAGATTCATCTAAACTTTATTAAAAATTAATTTATTATAAAAAATTATTCTAAAATAATCTATATACTGGTCTGTAATTATACAGAATGTTTCATAAGTGGTGGGCAAAATTTTAGGAATGGATTCATTAATCAACATAGGTCCGGAAATGATTAGTTTTTGAGTTATTAAGACTTTTGTAATACAAAATTTTGTTTCATTTCTCATCTTAGAAGTCCTTTTACAGGCATCAACAATGTTTTTTAAGTTTGATAGCTTGAAAAACATCGTTGATGCCTGTAAAAGGACTTCTAAGACGAAAAATTAGACAAAATTTTGTATTACAAAAATCTTAATAACTCAAAAACTAATCATTTCCGGACCTATGTTGATTCACTTTTTTTTTATTCTCTAAGCATGAGGAATCCATTCCTGAAATTTCGCCCACCACTTGTGAAACACCCTGTATATTCTATTATATATTATATATATTCTATTATTTTTATATAATATTTATTTTATTTTTACATTTTTTATTATATTTTCCTATTTATTTTATATATATCTTATGTTTTTACTTCCAAACTTTTAAATTAAGATATCTTAATAGTTCATAAAAAAATTTATAGAATTGATATTAATAATTATATATATATATATATATATATATATATATATATATAAAATTTCTATTTCAAAAAATATATAGAAGCAACTTTCAGAGTAAGTTTTTTGACATTGTTTAATCAATATTTAAATATATATTTGTTTATATATATATATATATATATATATATATGTGTGTGTGTGTGTGTGTGTGTGTAATGATAATATGATAGTATTAAAACATTTTTGTATAGTTCATTATATAGACAAGAGTCATGTTCTCTCATGTTTAAAGGTTTTATTTTGCTGATTATAACATGCTGATTTAGCTGAATAAAAATACGTCTTTCATGCAGTCACTGACAGAATGAAAAACACACTCGCGAAGTAGCGTCTTGCATTAAGACGATTAATTATTGACGAAAAATTATCAATGGCAATAATTTACGGAGCAATGATATAAGCTTATATTATCTGACTATTATTTTTGTGCTCTTTTGTTGTTCTTTTGTTAAGTTTAAATTAAAAAATAAGGCAATAATTTAGCAATAATTTTGGTGTTTTTTTTTTAATTTTAATTTTAAAACCTAATAAAAGATATTTATTATTTTGCTTAAATAATTCAATACAAGACAGGTGGCTGTAGAGAAGATATTTTGCAATTTTTTTCTCAACTGCTAATTTGTTTTTTTGTCATATTAGTTGTCATATTCCAAGATTTCTAGAAACTTATATTTCAACACCTCATATATATATATATATATATATATATATATATATATATATATATATACATGAGTATTTTTCGAGTTATAAGGCTTGAAATAATTTCTAAATTTTACATAAAACGCAAAATATCTAGTAAAATATTCATTTTTCGATTGCCTTAATACTTTTGTGTACAAAATAATAAGAGGAATCAATTAGTGTAAAAAAATAAAATAGTTGTTTTTACACCAATTGATTCCTCTTATAAGTTATAAGAATATGTAATTAAAAAATTTTAAGATAATCTTTATGTGACCTTGATATATATTTGATATATAATTATATATATATATATATATATATATATATATATATAATATATATATATATAATATATAATTGATAATTGATAATTGATATAGCTAAAAAATAAATGTGTGCAGCTGCTGCTGCACAAAATATCGCAATCAATTAATCCATTAAAATCAATTGATGCAGTCTAAGAACATAATACATAAAATATTAATAATAATTTATAGAAAAAGATAAATAATGTAATAAAAAACACATGCATTTGTGATACATTAATTGATTGTCAATTACTGATAAGCAGAGGAAAAGTATTACAAAACGTACAATCTATGAAGTAAAAACTTATTTTACACTCTGAATTATCATAATTTCTCGGTAAACAAAATTATTAATATTTATTATTTAATATATATACAAGGTGTTAGAGAGCAACTGTATCAGGTGCTTATTTTGAAAATATACATTTTCGTGCAAAAAATATTTTATACAAAAATTATAAGGTTTTAAATGACGTATTACATATTAATATTAGGATGACTTTGAATAGTAGTGTTAAGGTCACATAAAGATTATCTTAAAATTTTTTAATTACATATTTTTATAACTTATAAGAGGAATCAATTGGTGTAAAAACAACTATTATATATATATATATATATATATATATATATATATATATACATATATATATATATATATACATATATGTATATAAAGAGATAATTTAGACATCGGTTATACAATGTCAAAATCTCCTATCTATAATACTATCAATTCGAATATTTTGTAAGGATTGTTGAAAGGATTGCATAGTCTGTTAGAATTATTTTTTTTTTAATTATAATTGTAAAAGTCAAGATTTATAAATTTTAGATTTATATAGCATATCAGTTTTAATTTATAATAATATATTTAATTTTTTTACAATACAAAATAATATATTTGAAATTTATTTTTAATTTTAAACAATTTTTAAAAAATTTATTTAGAGATATTATATTCGAGCATATAATTATAATTTAATTTCTTAATTTAAAAATTCAAGAAATAGAATTTTAATTTAATTTTAGAAATAATATTTATTTTTTATTTAATTTACTTGAATTTTCATTTAAGGCTCAGAACCTGTACGTCTTTCACCAGGATGGGAAGGCACTGGTAGACCTGACGACGAACTTAATTTTAAGGGTGTTACAATGGATCAAGCAGATCTCGAATTGAATCCTCCTAGAGATAGGTATAATCATTATTTATTTATTATATTATTTTTAATAAAAATTGTATACGAAAACTTACAATATATATAATGTATATTATATGCAATTTTATATTAATAGAATAAAAAGAAAGATAGGGAATTGTATATAACATAATTATACGTTTTAAGTATTTCTATCAATTTTGTATATATCTTTTTACATATAGTATCGCTAACCTAAACAAAATTGTTTTAGATTAAATTTAGTATTTTGCATCCTAGTTCTTCATGGAATCGGTGTTTTAATGCCATGGAATATGTTTATAACAGCTAAAGAGGTGAGTAAATAAATATAGTTTATAATAATAGAATTGAAATTATAATACAATCTATATATAGAAGATTGGTATATTTTTAGTATTTTGTGAGTTACAAATTATCTAAGGAATACACTGGTGTAGATACAAACTATGCAACAAATTTCCTTGCAAATCTGGGATTTGCTGCGCAAATTCCAAATCTATTGTTTAATTGGCTGAATGTATTTTTACAACTTGGGTATGTATACAAAATAACAAAATGCATTTTGCAACATGAGATTTTTATAATCTTAAATAATGGTTTACATTTCGTTATTAATATATATTAATAATGTATGATTGACGTGTATGATTATAAATTTAAAATTTTTTAATTTTATTTCTTTGAATATATTATTATTAAAATATTGGAAGAGAAATATAATAAAAGAATTTTATTAATAATGGAATAGTGAAAATATAATTTACTAAATAATAATAATATGATTTACTAAAGAGATGTGCTTTTTATTTTTCAGAGGCAATTTGACAACACGCATAGTATGGAGCATCTTTGTATTAGTCTTGATATTTGTTTTTACTGTTGTCTTAGCGATGACTGATAGTTCTGGCTGGCCTGGAGTATTTTTCTGGATCACTATGATATCCGTTGTTATATTAAATAGTAAGTAACATACATATATATTTCTATATATGATGTTTGAACATAAGTTTTATGAAAAATTTTCCTTAAAAATTTTTTTATTCTCATATAAAATTTTTCAATCATTAATTATCGAATTAAAAACTATTATTAATATATATATATGTGTGTGTGAAAAAATTAATATATTAAATTAATTTACATTATAATTATTAATTATATAAAAACATTACTATTAATTATTAATTGATATTATGTTCATGCATTATATATCTGAAATTTACATTTTAGCTGCTAATGGTATTTACCAGAACTCAGTGTTTGGAATGGCAGCAAAACTGCCCATCAAGTACATAGGCGCTGTTGTTTTAGGCTCGGTAAATATCAACAACTCTGATCCGAAATAATCATTGCATAGTGCATAAACCTCTGTTATTTATTTTCAGAATATCAGTGGAACTTTTACAGCCATAATAAACTTCCTTGCACAAATAATGGCGCCGAATGCGCGTACTGCCGCTATATATTACTTCATTACGGCTTTGTTTATCCTACTGGCTTGCTTTGACACATATTTTGCACTTCCAATTAATGTAAGATTTCATTGCTGTGTATTATATTTCAATATTATTTGCCGATATATATATATATATATATATATATATATATATATAAATTCCAATGTATGCTTAATTAAAAAATAAATTCAATAAATTCAATAAATTGAATCTCTCGATAAATAAATAACGAATTAAAATAAGTTATTAATTTATTCATTAATTTTGTATATATATATATATATATATATATATATATATATATAATAAAAGTGTGTATGTTAAGTATATCAATGAATCAACTAAATAATATTAATAAATTAAATTGCAGAGATTTTATCGATATCACGAGCTGCTATATCAGAAAGAGGCGAACAAGAGACAATTAGAAAACAGTTCTAGGGGAAGTAACAGGCCACCATATTGGACAGTATTTAAAGCGTGTTTCCCACAATGTTTTAACACGTTTTTAATTTTCTTTGTGACTCTAGCGCTTTTCCCATCAGTGCAATCTGATATAAAATTATCAGATAAGAATTTCATAATTCCATTTGAATATTACAGCAGTGTTATGTGTTTTTTAACATTTAACATCACTGCCATGCTTGGAAGTTTAATAGCGTCAATAGTTCAGTGGGTATGTAAAGTCTAAAGTTTTTTATATTACATTTTGTGTTTGTATTTTTTGTATCTTATGTATTATTATTATTATTATTATTATTATATATTATTTTTTAAGTATTTTGTATAGTTTATATTTAATTATATCTTTAATATTTAACGTATTAATTTACACACACATATATATATTGTGTATATATATATATATATATATATATATATATATATATATGTATGTATGTATGTATGTATGTATGTATGTATGTATGTATGTATGTATGTATGTATGTATATATGTACTGTTATACATATATTTTATTATTTTATATAATTATTGTAAATATAAAATTGTTGATATATTGTATAATTTAGTTATCTTTACAATTAATTATTTTTTACAGCCCAGTCAAAAATATCTAGTAATTCCAGTAGTACTACGACTTGCTTATATACCATTGTTTTTACTTTGCAACTATCAACCAGCTCATGTAGAGAGATCATTACCCATATTTATTGATAATGATTGGATTTTCTGGATCATTGCTATCACTATGGGTTTTAGTAGTGGCTATCTATCGTCATTATCAATGATGTACTGTCCTAGGTAAATACAATTAGTAAAAAAAACGTAATAAGCAAAAAGGTAAAATAGCACGAATTTCTATATATACTTATAATTCATTATTGAAATAAATAATACACAACGATAAAGAAATGAAAGAATGTAGAAATGATATATAATAATATGTACTTTGTGTATTCAGAATGGTGGATTCACAGCACGCAGCGACAGCTGGCATGTTTGGAGCAGCATCTTTAATTACAGGGCTCTTTACAGGAATTCTATTTTCCATGTCAATGCCGAGTTTGGTGGCCAACATAACGTTTTGATTGTTTTGAAACTAAAATTTAGTATCACAATATGCTTGTATTTACTCAGGAGTTAGAAAAGGATTGAAAATTGAAAGATGTTGGAACGTTTCTCTTATTTGAATTAAAAATGAGCAATTTCTATTTCTTAAGAAAAAAATAGCATTTTAAGAGCAGAAATGAGGCTACTGCTCTTCAATGCGAAATAAGAGAAACATTTCGAAATGTTTACTTATTATATACATATATATATATATATATATATATATATATTTATATATATATATACACACATATATGTATATACACGTTAAATACATATACACATATAATCATATAATTCTTTAAATAACAAATTAAGACAAGCTTTCTATGAAGTAAAAAATCTTTCAAAGTAATGTGTGTTTTTTATAAGCGTGTGATTTGAAGTTTTTGCATTGATTGATAATTTTTGATGTCGCGTTGATAGGAAAAAATAGTTACGAAAAAATAAATAAGATCAATGAAAAGTGCATTAATGACCAGAATCGTTTCACAAGAGATCTCTTGAAAATACCGAGATCTATCAGGTTTTATCAGGATTTAGAAAAGTTAATATATTACTGCCCTTATTAATAAAACCGGACCAATAAGCCTTATTAATAAAAAAAGAAAACTGTACGGCACTTCCATTTTTCGCATCGTTCGAATAGTAAATTGCTAAATTATTAGACTTAACAAAGAGATTATACATTTAAATCTGATATGATTCGTCGCGCGTTTAGCGTTAAACATAACTTTCATTAAGATGACATCTAAAGTATAAAGTAAAATTATCATCGAATACTCGCACATCTCTAGCGCTAAACGCATAACGAAAATAGGTCTCTCTTAATACATAAGCATTACATTTTTAAATAGAGTTTACGCTAAAGTTGCCATGCTGAATTCTCTTGCAGAAATTTTATTTCTAAGTTAATCTTATTATATAATAATGAACAAATAATTTTAAAGACAAAAGTTAAAAAAAAAATATTTACTAGCAGTACTCCTGTGAATTAAACAATTATAATTTTATTTAATTAATTAAAAAATTGTATAATTTTATACACTTTAATTGATTACATAATTGATCTTAATTTGAAATTGACAAAGTTTTGTAGCAGGATCTGATATAATAGTTTTGTAATAAACTTTCATATTAGTTTTAGTATTACAAATCTATTATGTAATTACATGGAGGTTGTGTTTATAACTTTTTAGTACTTTAGTTACTAATTATATTTTATTTAATATTTTTTTGTTTGTATTTTTATTTGTATAAGAAATTACAATATCTCGATTTTTATTTAAAGTTATGTTAATGAATATTTCACAACAAAAATTTATTATAATTTTACAATTTTACAATGTTTTTAAAAATTTTTCGTTTTATTTGAAATAAAAATTTTACCACAGTAAAAGATATACAGGAGAGTCAAGACTGTTGACCAGTTCCAATTATTTTACTAGTCCTTACAGAATTTTGACGACGAGCTTTTCACCTTATCTAAGATTAACACGAGCTATAATTATAAAAATTGAAAATATTCATACATTTGAACTATGACATATTTCATATTACATATTTCTAATTACATCTTTTTTTACTATGTGTACATGTGCTTCATCATTTATGTTTTAATTATATGTTTTAATCATACAAAAAATTATGATGTTTCATACATTTCAAATAATTGTGATTAAATTTTATGATACACAGTATTCTTCCACAAAGCAATATTTGAACAATCTATACAATTTTTTAAAATTAGAACGCACATTGCTTTACATAAAATTTATTTTTAAACAAACTTTTGTAGCTTAAGCTTATAATTTGTTGACATTTTTTTAAACTTATATTTAAAAATAATATTTTGGTATCATAATTACATTAATTATTAATAAGATAGAGACTGCTTGAACAATATGATATAATGTTTTTAAAATTATCGCCATTAAACAATATACATGCATATACATTCATAAATATTCAAATACGTAACATATATAAATTTATTTCACATGCGTATTGATTCTGATATATATATATATATATATATATATATATATATATATATATATATATGTATATGTATATATCAGAATCAATGCGCATATGCGATAAACTTTATATTGTCTTGTTAATATAAATAGCTCTTTATATCTTGTAGCAAGTTGAATCTTATTTATCTTTATGAAAATTTTCTCATATTAGTTTTATAATGTAGCATTTACATTATATTGAAAGTACAGAGTATACTGTAAAAGATGGCACAAGAATATCTTTACATATAATTATATATATGTAATTTTATATATTTCTACAAGAGTTTTATCTTAAGTACATAAATAGAATGTTTCTAAAATCTTTGGCTAAATTTTATCAAACTACATTTAATAATTCTATTCAACTAAGTTATAAATTTTATTTATTAATTTTATCCAATTTTATCTAACATCTATTCTACTAATTGTACTGATAAAAACTTACAATATCATATGACTATAAATTCATGATTATGATAATATGATAATATAATTTATCCAAATATTTTGATACCCCTGTATATACAATGTGGGATATATTCAGCAAGAAAGCGCGGTTATACACGCATTTTTAATTATTCCAAAGTGTGTAAGCTTTATAATTCTATTACATTTCTCTTTGTCTAATACTGTATGTAATCAATATCATCTTTCATCAATTTAATTATACTCTAATTGATACACATAAAAAGTTACACTACTAGTGCATTTGAAAGATTTCCTTATTTACATTACAGTGATTCTAGAAGAAACTTTCATAAATTTAAATTTAAAATACAATTAATTTAGCTTATATTTAATAGTTTTATTTATTAAATATAAATTTAAGAAAAATTATTATAATCTAATTAGAAATTACGTATTTAAAGACAATTATAAAATAATAAATAAATCATTTTACATCCATAGAATCACTGTGTTGCAAGTAAAAATGCGTTTTTTATTAATTTATATAAAAAGAAAAAAGGAATTTCTTATACTTTAATCATTATCAGACTGATAAAAATGATGATTCTAAAGTAAATTCTGAATTCCTACAAGGACAATCCTCCGTATAAAGCAACAGACAATAAGTAATCGAAGGAATTTGATAATTCAATAAAATCGGAAAATTCATTAAATTTAAAGAAAAACAGAGAAAAATTGATAGAATAGATAGAGTATTTTTATATGGATTCTCAGTCGTACATAAATAAATTTCATTCGACAAATTGTTTCGAACGTATTGTACTGTTTAGATTATTAAGCGGTCTCTATTTAAAAAAAATTCACGCATTAATATTATACACTACATATATAAGATTTAAATGCGTATTTATTTTCACATGAAAATGACATCTCTCTTTAAAAAAAGTTCGTTTTAAAGAGTTTTATCATTTTTATGTCGAAATGTAATAATATATTAATTATGTCTACAAATCTATAAAATGTCTAAAAAATCGCAGATGTTTTCTTAGTTATTCATAAAGTAAAATATACATTCAATAATTTAAAAAAAAATTCATTTTGATCATATATTTAAGTTTCAATTTTTTCTAAAATTTTTAAAAATTAAATTGAATCTATTATATTATTATAATTTTTAATATTAGACTTAAATTTTCAGTATTACTTTGTAACTGTTTTAAGCATTTTGACATCAGAAAATTGACGTTTTTTTATTTGACTTTTGCTATCTGCGATTTTTAAAAAATATAAATTTTGTGACATATTCTGTATATGTAAAAATTGAAGATTTTAAAATAAGAAATGGTTGCGTTTTATGAATAATTAGATTTATGGAAACAGTTTGAACCGTTCAATTTACTGTAGAAAGAATGTTAAATAAATGAATAAGGACTACCTATTCCTATTGAAAAATATTTAGCTAATATTAACATATATAATAGTAATTATAGTAATAATATATATATATATATATATATATATATATATATATATATAAATTTACCAAACTTAATATCTATATAAAATTAGCATCCACAAAACTTTTTAAAGCACAAAATATAACAAAATTCTGCAAGTTTTAATTTTCTAATTCTTACATTATATCTCTAAATTGTCACATAAATAGTTTATTATATAATTATGAATAAATATACTTTATATTACAAATTAAAAAAAAATTAAAATTTATAACTTCCTTTTTTAAAAAATAGGGGTTATTTTCTTCATAATTGCTCGTTTGACAAGATGGAAATAATTCGATTAAAGATATTTCTTAAAAATAAATGTTATTTTATTCCATTAATGCTGTATACAATCACTTAAATAATAAAGAAAGATTGGAGCTAGAAGGAGACCATTAGAGCATTAAGCATATAGTACAACATGTATATACTGTGTCAATATCAGCTTACATAACGAAAACCTTTTCGATCTTTTTATATGGAAATACTTCTTTGGTTTTGGGGCAAATTACCGTACCATTGTTTTCTTGAGCCATCTTTTCTAATGCCTATAACAAAAATTGCAAACATGTGTACATATCTTCTATATAATACACATTTATTATAACCATTAATATATTTAAGAAAGTAGTTTAATATCTTATATTAATGTTTGATTGAAGAGAAAGAGTTATATTATTTTTATATTATAATGTATACTTTGATATTATTTAACATTATAAATTCTACTTAAATATTCTAATTTACTATTTCAAAATATTAATATTTTGAAGACGTTAATGATAATTTCTAATCATTATTTAATATTTTAAAATATTTTCACATACTTGTTCACCATATACATATCCATTAGGCATCATCATTGGTTGATTATGTTCGTTTAGCGGTTTTCCGCTTATACTACAAACAAGCCGTGATTGTGAGCAATGAGCAAAAGGCAATGGTGCAGCCAATTCATTTAACGCTTCATTGCAGATTGGACAACTAGGATTCCGACCTTCCTTATTTGCGCTATAACACTGAGGAGTCTTGAGAGCTGACAAGCCAGCCTGTAAAGCTACCGTGAATACACTCTGGCTTGCCAACTGAAATAATCTATAGTTCTCTTGACGAAATGTTTCGATCAGTTTGTCCCATCTGCAAGTAAATTTGAATGAATTATATTACGATTTATTATAATATTAAAATTGTTATCCTATATTTTTGCAACCCTAATTTTTACAATTATTTTATATAAATTGAATAAGTTTTTACAATTGTCTATTATTATTATATTATTATAAGCTTTTTTGTAATTCTTTATATTGGATTAATCATAATTGTAATACATGTCTATAAATAACAATTGCAAACCTTTTTTCATCTAATAGATCTTTATAGGGACTTAAATATGCATGAGCTGGAAACGCCAACTGGCCCATACAACACTGAATCTCTTGCAGCTGATAATCGTCATAATTCGAAAAGTATTTTCGGGCGTGTTTTACTGCGTCCAGTCGTCTGTCGGTTCGCACCAATTCGATAAATTCCTGTACGCGTAAATTAAACTCCATTGTGCTACCCAGTTTTCTTAATTTTGAACGATTATCATGACACCAACCAATACATCTTGCAGTTTCGTGATTGGCCAGAGATTTCTCCACTTCTCTTGATACCATAAACACATCTATGAACGTTAATAAATATTGATAAACAATATATAATATGTTGATAATTGTTAAGAATTATATATACAATTTTAGAAACTCTATGATTATATGAAAAAAATTTTTTAAAATACTTTCTAGAATTTATATTTTCCAAAATATATTTTTTAAACCTATTGCCTTATTACAACTTTAAAGAAATTAACAGATCATCTTTTAAGAAATGAAATTAATAAATTGTATATATATTAATTATCTTTTTATATTAAAGAGTACCAATATTTGTTAAATCTCTGAGCTCGTTACTGTCTGCCAATTTAGTCGCCGTTTTGTAATATCCTTTGCGAAGAAAATATTCTACTAGCATTCTGTCTAATCTCTGTCGTCTCCATTGATTCACAGCACTTGGAGAGGTATTAGCATGTTCTTTTAAGTGATCCAATCTTCTTTTGCAAACCATGCCTGCTTGTAATTCCTCCGCTATGGATTCTTGAGCTTTACGCTTTAAAACCTGAAGTCTAGCAACTACGCCACCAAGCAACTTGCTGATTTCTCCAGTTGCTACATAAGATCCGTCAGTTTTAAGACTTTTCTCAAGTTCGTTAGATACTGCTTGAACATGTGACACCTCTCTGTCGAGAGTTTTCTGGGCAGAGCGGAACTTCTTGTTCAGAAGTTCATACGGAACCTATGTTTTAAAAATATATTATCAGATACTAAGCAGATCATAAGCAGATTTTGATATCCTGTCTACAAAATAAAATTAAATAAATTAGCAATACATTACAATATAATACAATACTTGAGATAAATGTAGTATTGGATTTTATCTTATATTAGCTTGGAATATAGAAAATATTTATTATTATAGCAACATATTTGTATATTTGTTTTTTGTGTATATTTATTTGTACTGTTAATACTATTATGTTGTTTTAAAAAACTTATTTTTTTACAAATTACTTTCATAAATTTACATTTAGAAAGTGTTATTTCAAGAAATTTATTGGATATCAATCAAATATATAAAGTATACAATATGATACATAACTAGAATAAAATGTCTAAATGACAATAACATCTCGCTATAACGTGAAAAAATTGTCAACAAAATGCGAAAAATATGGATGTTTACCTTCAATGTAGGATGTTCAAGGCTCTTGACATCTGACATCTTGGGATTAATGATCCAAGATGATTACAACGGGACAAGTGACACGGTGAATAGAATCACGAGAGGAAGGAGACGACGGAGATGATAATCCGATTGTCCGTCAATTATTACGCGGTATAATATCGATGTTCATGACGATACACAGAATCGGTAGAAAGAATCGACGCAAGGGAATATTACAAGAAACGACGATTCGAGAGAATTCACATCAACTCACGTTTAATCTAGTCCATTTTTCGGTTGCATATGTATGCCTTTGTTTACGCGTAATTTTAGAATAGTCGGAGGGAGCGAGGAGGAGAAAAGATGAAATCGGAGAGAAGAACGAGAGAGGTCATTGTCCGCTTTTGAGCGATCCCTGAAAGCGATGCGTCCTCTATAAACATAAAAACGTCAACACGAAGCTAATATCTGCGAATGTTTTCAATGGGTAACACAATTTCGGGTTATGTTCCATGCTACGTGCACGAAATGTCGATAAAGCAATTTTATTGACGCCAAAAAGTAGCGTCAACCATTGGTTGAACAATGAAGCAACTACTTACTTCTTTGTTCAACCAATGATTGACGCTACTTTTTAGCGTCAATGAAATTGCACCTTAAGTTCATATTTTTATGTTTATAGAGGACGCATCGTCCTTTCAGGGATAACCTAAAAAGCCGGATACTTTGTTAATCTAGTGACTTTAAGATCGCCTAAAAGCAGACTATGACAAAAAAGAGTGAAAACTATGAACAACTTTGTTGTTTGTTTTATAGATTTTAAAAATGGCTTGTTGTATGCTACATATTTAGAGTTGTAAATAATTTGATAAAAAATGTTCAATCTATAAACAATGGTAACGCAAATGAAATATATCATTGTCTCTAAATCATTATATGTAATTAACATATAATGTGTATTTAAAATTAATTTATCAATTTAACTCCAATAAAATTATGAAATTTTTTTCAGGTATATTATTGTTTAATATTGTTTAATTTATTGCTTGTCAGTCATTCACATTTATTAAAAATAGTCACTTTATTAAATAATGTGAAAAACTCTATATTTTTTGCGAATAGTAAGTAGAACTTTTATGGATATAGCATTTTAATAATAGTTTATATTTACAGTAGAAAATAATTTGTATTTCACTGTGCTTTTGTTCTATAGGACCTGAAGATGAATTATGAAAGGGTGTGACAAGTATCAGTAATGCAGGAAGACGCAGAGATAGAGCAAGAAGAGTAGTGAAAAGAGAAAGCTCCTAAATAAGGAGCAAATTATTGGCATAGGAAAAATTCCGATACAATTTCTTGGTCTAAACACTCCTGTGTTTAGAGGAAAAGAATTAATTCAACAGCAAAAACTGCTTGTAAATCTTGAAAGAAAGCAAAAACTTATGGAATTACCACAAAGTCAGACCAGACCAATGCAAATAAAATTATCGCCATTGGAATGTGGTTGGACGAGTGTTACAATGGATGGCAGAAGCATTGAATCAGATCTTATTGGAAAAGGTTAATATTTATGCTATTATTGGATTATAATGGTTAAATCACACACACAAAAATCATGTGATGCGATGTCTATTTTCAATTTTTTTTTGATGTTTCAGTTCTAAATATTAGAATATTATATAATTAATATCTTTGTTTTCTGTAGATACATTTGAAAGTTTTGAAACCTGGATTTTGGAAAACAAAATGATAACTTGTATGACCGGTAATTTAGCACGTAAGACTAGAATCAGTTCATTTATAGTAACTGGAAATGGAAATGGATTAGCTGGATTTGTGTTATCAAAAGCCAAAGCATCTCTAAAGACGGTTAAAAATAGGGCTGGTCAAAGGCTAATGTATATTCCTACATATAAGGAATACACTGGTAAGAAAATAATTGTCAATACTGTATAATATAAAATTTATTTCTTCTCCTTTAATATCACTTTGTATTTTTCAGTGTTACATGATTTCTTTACACAGTTTGAGAATATAAAAATATTTGTAAAGAAAATTCATGAAGGATAATGGGCTTGTTTGTCATCATGCGATAAAAGCGTGTTGCGAGATAATTGGCATAAAGGATATGTATGCCAAAGTACAAGGAGGAATGTAAAAGCATTCTTTATTGGTTTATTGCAACAGGTATGTATATAAAGTATTTAAAGGCATATTATACTTTTTATTTAATTTATATTAGAAAGAAACATTTTTTATTTATAAAAATATATATATATATATATATATATATATATATATATATGTTAAACATAAAGCTAAAAAAAAACGTGGATTGTGTCGATTAATTAATTAATTGTTTTATTTAATTATCAATTTATATATGTATATTATTAACAATAATTTTTTGTTTACTTAAACTATAAGGTATAAGGTTGTACATAAGAAACAATCTTTTTTATTTAGTATTTCAAGCATATTTTCATAGAACTTTAATTTAATTATTATATTATTAAAAATATTGAACAAAATAAAGAATTAAAGCTGGCTTTCTCTGCAGTCTCATGGCAGATTATATCAGAAATCATACTTTAATTATTGCAATATATCATGAAACAAATCAATCTCAAAATAATGGAAATATTTGCAGAAATATCAAATATGTAATGTAAATATTTTAATTTTTTTGTATGCGATCTATTTTTTATTCTATCGATGTTTTCATAGCGATGCACCTTGAGCACTTTGCTTCATATGTTTGCAATAAAAATATATTAAAGCAAATTATTTTGCAAATTTATTATTCTAATTTTTATTTAGAAAGACTAAGATTAAAAAAGACATATGCATTTTTTTCAGATATTTCTATTGAAAAAAACGCATCAGATAAAACTTTCCTGTACATTTTAAATGTGCCAAAAGATTTGCTCTTTATTCCACTTACTGCAATAATGTACACTAAAAATGACAGATGTATATTAAAAATGATAGATCTATATTTAGTAGTTGGAAAGAAAGAGAGGAGAAATGAAAAGTGCATCTAGAGAATTTAAAAGAATAAAAATCTAAAAATAATAATACATAAAAATTAATATTATGTATTTTTTTCATGAGGAATGTGGAGCGCACATTTATGCATTTATTTATTTGGATGAGATTTACTTTAGAGCACATTCAGTATTCAACTTTAATTTTATTTTCTCTTTCTTATGATATATAAGTATAACATAATTACCTGCAAATGCTATCACTTTGTGTGTTTACAGTGATACAGAAGCAACATTACAAGTACTACATTTACAGATAACATCTGTATAATAAAAAAAGCACCAAAAATCTAATGATGAAAAAAGGATAAATATTGTAGACCAGGATAAGTATCAACCAATTATTCCACCGCTCTGTTTCATTAGAGTTGCAATTTTCTTTTATATCATAAATATTATAAATAAGATAAAGATTTCCGTACGTTTCAAATAAATTTATATATTTTATGTATGTAATACTACGCATACATATTAAAAGGTATAATATCGCAGTTATAATAAGATACGATCCTGGCATGTAGTGATTTTTGGATCCTACTTAAAATAATTTGATTTATTTTTGAGAAATGCGCACAATACTTGAGAACAAATTATTTTTGTGCCATGTATTACCTGTGTAAAATTCCACATACAGTATCATATTGTCTGCGATATATGAAAAGCTTCATCGATGAAATATGATTGAGATATAAGAAAAGTAATATAGTACTTGTAATGAATAACGTTAATGTGGAATACATAAATATTTTATATTTTAATTTCATGTAATCAAGATGAGATAAGACACTCATGATTACTTTAAAAATGTGCCCACAAATATCATGTAATTTCAACAGCTGCACATTCGTCAAATTAATCCTATTACGTTAAATGAATCACAGCAGCTTGTTTTAATTTAATCTAACCTAACCAATTATATTATATGCTTCTCATTAAAATGTGTAAAACTGCACATTTAATACGATTAATATACTACGTAATAAAATGTAATACACTAATGAAATAATTAAATATTATTTTTGAAAGCATGATAAAATCCAGGCAGCATACGCTTGCGTTTACATTCGACATCCAAAGCACTGAGATGTTAGGTTAGGTTAGATCGAAAAAATTTATCGTTTGACAGTTGGCAGCCCTACGAGATAGACTGTGCAGCACTGCGCGTATATAAAATAAATTTGAAATCGCTTCTAGCCTAATCATCTTCACGCGATCGACTTTATTTGAATTGCACGGCATCGCATCGAATTATGATGCGGCGCCGATTTGTTCGAACGTAATTCGGGACATCGCGATGCTGTATAAGCGTCGAATGAGCACGAATTGTCACGCAAATATGATAAATCACATCTACTCACCGTTCACCGGCTATTCCACAAGCCGCTCCACTCGCTCGCCTCGGGACGTCCAATTCCGATCTTGATGCGCACAAACTCACACGATATCATCAACGCGAACGCGCGACACTTTATTCGGCACTCCCGATATTCGCTCGCATCCGATAATCATCATCAAGGGCGCAAATAACGCGACGCGACTTCGCTCCATCTTCGCGATCGCGCTATCACTGAACTGTGAAAAATAGCTGTCGCGCACTTTCACCGGCATATTATGAAAGTCGCGCGATCATCCTTGGACACTTTCGACGCTCTTTCACTCGCGATATTCGTTTAAAAACGGTTAAAAGACGTGAAAAATGCGAACGTTCGACGATTCATGTAACTGCGTATGACTCCGAGTCACGTATGACGCGTATGACGTACTATGACGCGTATGACGTAGCAGTCACGCGCCAACATGGCGGCCGAACCAGTGCACACTGGTTCGGCCGCCATGTTGGCGCGTGACGTCACTGCGACGTCATACGCGTCATACGTGACTCGGAGTCATACGCAGTTACACGGATCGTCGAATGTCCGCATTTTTCACGTCTTTTAACCGTTTTTAAATGAATATCGCGAGTGAAAGAGCGTCGAAAGTGTCCAAGGATGATCGCGCGACTTTCATAATATGTCGGTGAAAGTGCGCGACAGCTATTTTTCACAGTTTAGTGATAGCGCGATCGCGAAGATGGAACGAAGTCGCGTCGCGTTATTTGCGCCCTTGATGATGATTATCGGATGCGAGCGAATATCGGGAGTGCCGAATAAAGTGTCGCGCGTTCGCGTTGATGATATCGTGTGAGTTTGTGCGCATCAAGATCGGAATTGGACGTCCCGAGGCGAGCGAGTGGAGCGGCCTGTGGAATAGCCGGTGAACGGTGAGTAGATGTGATTTATCATATTTGCGTGACAATTCGTGCTCATTCGACGCTTATACAGCATCGCGATGTCCCGAATTACGTTCGAACAAATCGGCGCCGCATCATAATTCGGTGCGATGCCGTGCAATTCAAATAAAGTCGATCGCGTGAAGATGGTTAAGCTAGAAGCGATTTCAAATTTATTTTATATACGCAGTGCTGCACAGCCTATCTCGTAGGACTGCCAACTGTTAAGGTGCAATTTCATTGACGCGAAAAGACCGCTTTACACACTGAAAAAGTTGAAACTGTTTGAACTTTATTTTATTGACGCCAAATCTAGAGAAAGTCTAGTGATTTTAATTTGCCGCTGGTTTCTAGCGTCAATGAAATTGCACCTTAACACAAGTAACGTAAAACGTTTGTATCAGAGAAGCATAAGGCCTGTTCTTTTCAGCTACACTGCTGTATTAGTGCAATAAGTTAGAAAGAGACATACTTTCTTTCGCTCTAACTAATTGCACTAGTGCAGCAGTGCAGCTGAAAAGAACAGACCCATAGCCTCCCTCAAGCTCCAATACCATGTGTATGTGTATACTGTGTGTTTACCATGTATACTGTGTATATTATTGAATTCTCCAATTTGTTAATTTAACTGAAACTTAAAAAATTTTGTACTTTCAACAGGAGACTAGTTGCCACCCAGAAAAGTCGAAGAGCCAGATATCCAGCTGGAGGCGCGCTAAAACTCAGAAGAGAGAGAATCTGATCCAACCTCTTGATCGGAAAAACATGCTCGTGCTGTGACAGTTTATAGCAGAATTATTAGTAATTATCATGTATTCCATATGCAAAAATACTCATCCTGCAACGGGGGTCGAGCACGCGATCACGTGTCATTTTTTCAACCGTACGGAGAAATGCCTCGTGGTCGCCGGCGCGAATGTCATACGGGTGTTTCGCCTGATCCCGGACATCGACATGACGAGAAGGGAGAAATATACGGAAAATCGTCCGCCTAAGATGAAGCTGGAGTGCTTGGCACAGTACACCTTGCATGGGAATATCATGTCCATGCAGGCTGTTCATCTCATTGGTTCGCAGAGGGATTCTCTATTGCTTAGCTTTCGCGATGCGAAGCTGTCTGTTGTGGAGTACGATCAGGACATTCATGATCTGAGGACAGTGTCGTTGCATTATTTTGAGGAGGAAGAAATAAAGGATGGATGGACGAATCATCATCATATACCCATAGTAAGGGTAGATCCTGAAGGAAGATGCGCAATAATGTTAATATATGGTAGAAAATTGGTTGTGCTACCCTTCCGAAAGGATCCCAGCCTCGATGATGGTGACTTACTTGATAGCGCAAAGTTAACATCCTCCAACAAGACTCCCATATTATCCTCGTACATGATAGTATTAAAAACACTGGAAGAAAAAATGGACAATGTGATAGACTTACAATTTCTGTATGGATATTATGAACCCACATTGTTAATTCTGTACGAACCGGTAAGAACATTTTCAGGACGCATCGCAGTTAGACAGGACACTTGCGCAATGGTTGCTATATCCTTAAATATTCAGCAAAGGGTACATCCTATCATTTGGTCCGTCTCTAATTTACCATTCGATTGTTATCAAGTTGTACCTGTGAAAAAACCATTGGGCGGCACATTGATAATGGCAGTTAACTCACTTATTTATTTAAATCAAAGCATACCTCCTTATGGAGTATCGCTTAATAGTTTAGCAGACACAAGCACCAATTTTCCATTAAAGCCACAAGAGGGAGTAAAAATGAGTTTAGAAGGTTCACAGGTCGCATTTATATCTGGAGATCGTTTAGTTATCTCTTTGAAGAGTGGAGAACTTTACGTTTTGTCCCTCTTTGCAGACAGTATGCGATCCGTGCGTGGATTTCACTTCGATAAGGCGGCAGCTAGTGTATTAACGTCATGTGTATGCATGTGTGAGGACAATTATCTTTTCCTTGGCTCTCGACTCGGTAATTCATTATTATTACGATTCACCGAGAAGGAACCGGAAACTCTAAAAAATCTGAATGATAATGAGATTACTATTGAAGAAAACGAAAGCGAGGAAACCCCTGCCAAGAAGGCGAAGCAAGACTTTCTCGGTGACTGGATGGCATCGGACGTGTTAGACATTAAAGATCCAGAAGAATTGGAAGTGTATGGGAGCGAAACTCATACATCCATTCAAATCACATCATATATTTTTGAAGTGTGCGACAGCTTATTAAATATTGGACCATGTGGAAATATTTCCATGGGAGAACCAGCCTTCCTGTCAGAGGAATTCCTACATAATCAAGATCCTGACGTTGAACTGGTGACGACGTCAGGATATGGCAAAAACGGCGCGCTTTGTGTCCTACAACGTTCCATTCGTCCTCAGGTTGTGACAACATTTGAACTACCCGGCTGTGAAGATATGTGGACCGTTATCGGTACATTAAATAATGATGAACAAGTTAAAGCAGAAGCGGAGGGATCTCACGCTTTCTTAATATTGAGTCAAGAAGATTCAACCATGATTCTACAAACTGGTCAGGAAATTAACGAAGTAGACCAGAGCGGCTTCAGCACACAAGGAAGTACAGTATTCGCCGGTAATCTCGGTGCCAATAGATATATCGTGCAAGTCACTCAAATGGGAGTGCGCCTCTTACAAGGCATTGAACAAATCCAACATATGCCTATAGATCTCGGTTGTCCAATTGTGCATGCGAGTTGTGCCGATCCATACGTAACATTACTCTCAGAAGATGGACAAGTGGTATTGTTGACACTTAGAGAAGTGAGGGGCACAGCGAGATTGCACGCTCAACCTGCCAATTTATTGTTTCGTCCTCAGATAGAGGCATTATGCACTTATAGAGATGTAAGCGGGATTTTTACAACACAATTGTCCGAGACAACGGACGACGAGCAAGTCGAAGAGGAGCACAATGTAGAGGAACCTTCTCTACTCAGCAATATCGATAACGAAGACGACTTGTTATACGGCGATGCTCCAGCATTTCAGATGCCTGCACCATCATATCAGAAACCATTGGATGGAGTTTCTAAGAAGGCACCTTGGTGGCAGAGGCATCTGCAGGAAATAAAACCCACATATTGGCTACTTGTATATAGAGATAGTGGGACGTTAGAAATTTATTCCTTACCGGATTTACGGCTCTCTTATCTCATTCGTAACTTTGGCTATGGTCAATATGTGCTGCACGACAGCATGGAATCTACGACATTGCAATCAGCACCGGTCAATGAGATTCCTAATCCCGAAATGCAGGTAATATATTTACAAATATGATTATTATAGCATTAACAAAGTTTTATGTTAGTAAGAAATATATATTTCTCTATAGGTTCGCGAAATTCTGATGGTCGCTTTAGGACATCATGGAAATCGGCCAATGCTCTTGGTTCGTCTCGATTCGGAGCTGCAAATTTATCAAGCTTATAAGTACCCAAAGGGATATCTAAAACTGAGGTTTAAGAAATTGGAACACGGAATAATCCCAGGACGTTTAAGTCCGAAACCGAAGGAAGAGGACATGCCCATGAACGCGAGCGAAACTCGCATTTGCATGATGCGTTACTTTAGCAACATTGCCGGATACAATGGAGTATTTATCTGCTGCGATTATCCGCATTGGATATTTTTAACCGGACGCGGTGAATTACGCACGCATCCAATGGGTATCGATGGCCCTATCACGTCTTTCGCTGCTTTTAATAATGTTAACTGCCCACAAGGTTTCCTATACTTTAACAGAAAGGAGGAGTTACGGATATGCGTTTTGCCAACACACTTATCGTACGATGCTCCTTGGCCAGTTAGGAAAGTCCCCTTACGATGTACCCCACATTTTGTCACATATCATCTAGAAAGCAAAACTTATTGTGTCATAACAAGTATAGCCGAACCTCTGAAAAGTTACTACAGATTTAATGGTGAAGACAAAGAATTTACAGAAGAAGAGCGTCCAGAAAGATTTCTGTACCCGTCTCAAGAACAATTTTCCATTGTATTATTTTCTCCAGTTTCATGGGAAACTATTCCCAATACAAAAATTGAGCTGGAACAATGGGAGCACGTCACGTGTTTAAAGAATGTATCTCTGGCTTATGAAGGAACGAGGTCTGGTTTGAAAGGTTATATAGTATTGGGAACAAATTATAATTATGGTGAAGATATTACAAGCAGAGGACGTGTAAGTTCTACAAATCAAGAAAAATTCAAATCTTATCGATTGATTACTTTTACTCTTTTTATTGATTATTATACTCTTTTTATTTAATTTTCAGATACTTATATTTGATATAATAGAAGTAGTACCTGAACCTGGCCAGCCATTAACTAAAAATAGATTTAAACAAATTTATGCAAAAGAACAAAAGGGACCTATAACTGCTATAACTCAAGTATCAGGATTTTTAGTCTCTGCTGTTGGTCAAAAGGTATGTATTTCCTTTCAATTTTTACAAGAATTTTGTGTCTATTGTGAACAATATTAAAAATTTATGTTACTTTGCAGATTTATATTTGGCAGTTAAAGGATAATGATCTTGTTGGAGTCGCTTTTATCGATACTCAAATTTATATCCATCAAATGCTAAGTATCAAAAGTCTTATTTTGATAGCTGATGTTTATAAATCAATTAGTTTACTAAGATTTCAAGAAGAATATAGAACACTTTCTCTTGTTAGTAGAGTAAGTAGATACATTAATTTTTCGAACAAATATTAATGAACTATATTTACATTAAATTAAGTAATTTGTGTATTTTTATTATAGGATTTTAGACCTGCAGAAGTATATACAATAGAGTATTTAATTGATAACACAAATTTAGGATTCTTTTTGGCTGATGGAGAGAGCAATCTAGCTTTATTTATGTATCAGCCAGAGTCGAGAGAAAGTCTTGGAGGTCAAAAGCTGATTAGAAAGGCGGATTTTCATCTGGGACAGAAAGTGAACACTTTCTTTCGTATTAGATGTAGGGTTTCTGATCCTGCAAATGATAAAAAGCAATTTTCCGGTGCTGACAAAAGACATGTGACTATGTATGGTAAGTAAAAATGTATAAAAATTATAAATAATACATGTGATCTATTCATATTGTTTAAATAATCTGTTAATAAAATATATTTTTTACATTAATTTTTTTTACAGCAACATTAGATGGCAGTCTTGGTTATATTTTGCCAGTACCAGAAAAAACATATCGGAGACTGCTTATGTTACAAAATGTGCTAGTAACACATATTTGTCATATTGCAGGCTTGAATCCAAAATCATATCGGCAAGTATTATAAAGATTATATATTTATCATTATTTAATTTGCTAATTTGATTGGTGGCAATCAGAAATATATATTGCTAATATATATAAATTTTTTTTTCACTTAGGACGTATAAAAGTTATATACGAAATCAAGGTAATCCAGCAAGAGGCATTATTGACGGTGATTTGGTCTGGCGTTATCTTTTCTTACCAAACAACGAAAAAACAGATGTAGCTAAAAAAATTGGAACGCGAGTTCAGGAGATTATCGAAGATATTACTGAAATTGATAGACAAACGGCGCATTTTTAATTATAACTGCGTTACCGTCAATAAAGCTTATAATTTTATATTACTCGAAAATACATATATCACATATTATCTTATATAATTTATAATGTTGTATATTATAAATGCTTGCACCATCGAATGCTAAATGCATACAATGGATACGACATATGTATGTCTTGAAATTATCACAACATTCTCGCAATTGTTTAATTCATATATGACATTAAATTATTATTGAATTAAATTTTTAGTATTTGAATATGAAATAATAGAAAAATAAAAAATTTTTATATTTTGAGAAAAAAATAATATACTTTTCATAATATATACTTTTTTGTCGGATTATGACAGACTGACAAATTAATTTATTTATCACTTAATTATCAAATTGATACAAATATTTACTATTATTGTATAATGATAGATCTTCTCAAATGCAATTATCTCGCAGGAGAAGTACCATTGAAAGACGTCTTACCTTACGAAGAGAAACTCAACCATGTATGTATCAAACAAACATACTTGTAATTAATATGTACAGAATATGTATTTTGTAAAGACAAAATTTTTTTAAATGAATGATTGTTTATACAAATCTATTAAAATGTCAAAATATCCTCTTATAAAATATAAATTAATACAAATACTCCGAAAATATCTCAAATATATTATTTCATATATATTGCTTATATTGATCAAACAATTTATGAAAGCTCGCATTTCTCGAATACTGAAAAACATCGTTGATTTCCTTTATTTCTTATATTTTTTAAAAAAGTTTGTAAATTAGATTTATTGATATCAAAGTAAGTATTTCAGAGATTTTGTATGAATTTAATAAAAAAGATCAATACAAATATTTGATAATTTTCTTAATTATACACTTAGTGGCTGTTGAACCAACATTATTAGAGAGAAGACTCTACGAAGCATTTGATGTATTTGACAATGCAAGAAGTGGAGAAGTCGATGTTAGAGATTTGGGAACTATAATTAGGGCATTAGGTTACATAAAATATAAAAATATTGTAATAATTTTATATTTTTATACCTTTCTCATGACATATTTCATTCTTTTTTTATATCACTCAATAGGATGTGTCATCACGGAAGCTGAATTGCAAGAGATACAAGTAGAAGTAGAAGATGTTGAAAACAATTGTGTGCCAATAAATAGATTTGTAGAATACATGAGCAAAGCAATTAATGAACGCAAGTACGTTCAAGTTAAATTTATTTTTAATCAGAACAAAAATAATTGAAAAATGTAATTTTTTATTATGACATAGAGTTTTTACAATTTAGATTCAAGCCAGCAGAACCAGAAGAGCTATTGAAAGCGTTCCAATTATTAGATCCTGAAAATCGCGGATATATTATGAAAAGTGATTTAGAGAAATCAATTATGGAAATTGGGGAACCATTTACAAAGGAGGAAGTGGCCGATATGATGGCTGTAGCTTGTGATGCGGAAACAGGAAAAATTAATTACGAGCATTATATTAACTTACTAATTGTACGTATATTGTTATTGCTAAGGTTTTTTTAAATCTCATATAGGAGTAAATATTTTATTTAAAAAACGTTGAAACTTCCACTTGAGATAAAAATTACAGGTGAAAATTCCCGAAGATATTAACGTATATAGTATTGTTGATCAAATAGAAGCTGCAAAATTGGCAGCATTACCTAAACGACACATATGGGAAAGTTTTTTATTTAAAGATGATATTACCTGACAAAAGAGTTGCTATATTATTTGAAAAGTAAAATGTTTTTTATGAGAGAATCTTAATATATAAAAAATATTAAAATTCAGGAAAATTGTATGAAATTTTTATATATTTCATAAGTTACATAAGTTTAAATCTAAAAAATATTTGTGCCCATTTTCATATATAAACAGTATAATATATGTTAATATATATATATATATATATATATATATATATATATATATAACAGTACATAAATGTTATATGTATTTAATGTATTAAATAATTTTTAAAAATTTTTTAATTATTAGAAAAGAGATCATATATTTGTCATGTTTAAATTTTTTTATATTTTTGCGAAAAGTATTATTAAAACTAATATCAAAATAGAAAAAAGATTTGACAACTTTTTCTTACAATTAATAAATGATTAAATGTAGATAACATGTTAATTAACAATAAAATACTATAATTTTGAGAATATTGGAGGATCACCTTTAATGGCTTGTGCCATAGCTGCATTTAAGAAATCTTCACTCTGAAGCATTGCCTTGTTATGCATCGCCTATCAAGATAAATCCCAATAATATATATATTAAAACAATTTTAAATATAATACAAGAAATTGTTTCACATATAATGAATAATAATATTTATTATAATTTTAGGTAGAATAAATAATGGAGAATACTCACAATATGATCTAATCCTTCTTGAACAGAGTGGTCTCTGGAATATATCATACTTATTTTTGAACCTTGCACAGCAACTGGACTCTTATTTGCGATATTTTCAGCAATTTCTATCGCTTTATTCAATAAACTGGACAAAAATACGAATTATCTTAAATAAAGTCATCTTGTTCAAGTGATCATTATCAAGATTATATATTCTTTCAGTGCATTTATTGATCTTACTTTTCTTTATTGTCCAACATGCGACTTATAAATCCGCTTTCCAATGCTTCAGTCGCCGGATACTTTCGTGCTGTATATACAAGTTCTCTTGCTAAACTATCGGATCCCACAACTTTTGGAAATCTTTGAAGTGTACCGACATCGGCCGCTAAACCAATGTCAACTTCCTTTATTTGGAAGTATGCATCAGAGGAAGCATATCGTATGTCAGTTGTCGATATCATGTCCACACCTGCGCCAATACACGCACCATGCACAGCAGCTATTACAGGTTTTGGACACTGTCAATTAATTTTGCATCATTATTTTGTTTGTACAAAAAAGTATTAAAAATATGTGATGCATAGTGGATTATGAGTTTATAGAGAATCATAATCACAATTTTATATAAATACTGACATACCTTCTCTATGGCCGTAAATGAGTCTTGATAATCTTTAATTTTAGGCTCCAAAACTCTGCATTTACGTGCAATATCCTCATGTTGTGCTAAACTCTGACCTATTTCCATCATTCCTTGCATATCAAGTCCTAAAATAGTTGTCAAATAGAATAATTCCATTTATCTATTAATATCATAATAATTAATTTACTTATATATTATTTCATACCTGAACAAAATGCTTTTCCAGCAGCAGATAAAATAATTACTCTGCAATCGGGATTGACTGCTAATCCATCGAAACATTCCTTAAACTCTCTACATAAAAATTGTTCATTTAAATATAGAGGTTCAATTGCAAAGGATATATAATAAGTGATTTTTCATACCGCCACATAATTGGATTCATCGCATTCAGTTTCTCTGGCCTATTCAATTTGACCATGTAAACAAAAGGTTTCGGAATAGATATCGCTAATGTTTTATATGCAAGTGACATTTCTGTAGAGTATCTTAATTTAGACGCAACTTGCAAGTCTGTAAATTTGTTAATAGATATTTTAATTTTCATATAATTATCACAATTATCATATACTAGATTTTTAACTAAATTTGATTAATATTTAAGAAAGCTGATTAGTTCATGAATATGAACAAAAGAAATGTCTTATCATTAATTAACAATAAGAGATATATTTTGAACATAAAATTAAAAAAAATAATGTTGAATGATTTTTTATATGTTAAATATAAAATAGTATACTAAATAAATTAAAAAAGAAATACAAATATCCTTACAATTTCCAATTGATCTTGACAAATTATTTTTAATGATATTTATGACCATGTTAGAAGAGGATATTCTATAAATAAAAGTAATGAATTAATAAATCTGAATATATACATACACACCTAATGTCTGTGTCTTTACGTTATAATCAAGTTAATTGATATTCTGTAAATAGTTAAAAGTACACTATAATATTTTACAAATATTACAATATTATACTATTCAAAATTTTGCATTAATAATATTACGAGTCCGAATAAAAAAATCACAGATTTATTAACAAAGTGTAAAAATACTTGTCATTTAGGTACACGTATATAGTCGATTTCTTTTTATTATTTGTTTATATTCTACGATGAGTCATTGATCATTAGTCATAAACAAATTGACCAATCACAGTCGATTATTTTGAAAATAATCGATTGTGATTGCTCAATTTGCTTACGACTAATGATCCCTTCGGTTTTTTCTCTGTTCGAGGCGACTATTTTTCCTCTACTCTGAATCAGCTGTTTCCTCTGCTTTGAATCAGCTGTTTTCTCACATGGTAGATTTCTTCTTTTTCACGGGACGATAACTGTAATCATATCGATCGAAAAAAATCGTAACCATATAGTTCGCGTTTTGTGCACGTGAGGCGTTGGGAACATCTTAAAAATTATTAAAGCAGAGAGAGAATAATCGCTCCCGAATATCATCTGTAATATTTATAACAGTGTAATTTTAATAATAATAAATTAGATTTCATTTTTCGTTTAGATCGACGCCTGATCTGGGAAAATAAAAGACGTGAATGTGAGGCCAAAAGTCAAGTCAATTTGTGTGTGTATAATTTGAAAAATTTGCCGTTTCCTTGACGCCAAAATTGCAAATGGAGGAAAGAGCGGGAAGCCGAGTCAGCATGTGTGTTAATATTATAACTTGAGGTATGTGTAAAGCTTCTTTTACAGATTAATAAACATTGTATAAAGATGAGAAAGTATGCCTACGAAATATTGAGATAATTGTAAATTGTAAAATTAATACCGCATTATATACATACTATAGGTATCGTCCAGATACCGTATGATTAAAAACGATTTTAAGTAATGTTAGCGCTCTTTAATTATCTTTTCCCGGATTGCCTGAGATCCTTGATAATCACATAATTTTACACAGGCACCGCGAGATTATGAGCCTTTAATAGTACCCCTCATCAAGTGATTGAGTACATTTCTTTTAAATCTGTCCGTAGAACTATGAAATTTGTGAAGAGATTAGGAAACCATTTTATGAGTAACGACTCAAAAAGTTTGTTATCGCACTATTTATAAATTAATAAAGATCATCTATTTAATTAATGTAATATTAATTTCTGAGATTTCTCTAGAAAAGAGTTTTATTAGATTAATTAGAATGTTATGTTGTATAATTATTGCGATTCGAGAATGAAATACATACAATAGAATTTTGTAAATATATCGAATAAATATTTCAATGCATTAATTGTCTCAATGCAATATAATTAGAAAAATATTTGTCAAAATATAAGAGGCTTTCAAGTGAGAAGACTTTATTTCAAAGTAAAGAGACTTGACAAAAAATATGAAATTATCTTTTGAAAATGTATATAATGATAATATTCTTTAAAATGGAAAAACGATATATGTATAACTTTTTATGAGAAATTCAAATACAAATAACAAATGACAAAATTCTATTTATTTGATCAAATTCTTTTTCTTTTTAATTTAAACTTCGCGATATTCACTTTCTCTCGCTGCGTTTTAAATCGTACGTACATCGCACGATTTATTTTTTAATAGTTTTACACAAAGAATATGATTAGACATAAGTGATTAAATCAGTTAATCGCTAGAGATTTACATTCACTTTTACGTTTGTGCTCTTCTAGCGAAGATTGAAGTGTCACCGTTCTTCGAGCGAAGCGCGATGAAAAGTGGGAAGGGGAAAAACACGGGTGGAATGAAAAAAGGACGAACGGCAGCGGAATGTCCAGTTTTTGCATGGCAGTTACTTACTTTAAACGAGCTAAGATTCTCATATAAAATAGCGGAGAAGCTTTTTTTACACACATACGATCCTTATTTGCGACCCCGCAATCAAAAGCGACGAAACGGCGGTCCTTATTTTCAGGCCATAATTGCAATACTCGCAGAGTTAAATTCCTTATAATTTCGGTGGCTATTTTTCATTTAACCCGTTTCATTCATCTCTCTATATATTGATTATGGAATTTTAATTAACACACGCTGTCTTTTAATTTTTCTGATTATTCTTGGAACCATTTCCTCTTCGTCAGGGTGGTTTTACTTTATAAAATTTTTAGAGAATACTAAAATTTTCGTGTCTTTTCGCCAGAGAATTCGCAGGTTCTACATATGACGAAATATTTCAACAATGTTTATGCAATTTTTCTACGTGCTGTATGAGAAACTGTATCATATTATACTAGATATGATTACTCTATTACTAAATCTATTATCAACAATTCGAGTGTTAATTTTTCTGTTATTGTCGACATTGGAGTGAATAGTAACGCATTAAATAGAGCTTAATTAATTCTCGGTTTGGTAAACGCTGAATATAGCTTGCCATATTTACTTCAAGGAAACACCTCTCGACATCTCTCGATTGTACAATGCCCTTTTTCTATCTTACATTTATAAAGAACAAACGCTAGTCAATTTCGAAATCGATGCACGGAATCTTAATGATGTCTTGTTACATATTCGACAGCAAGGGTTTAACAACAAAAGAGAGAGAGACCTTCGATTGCTTAAAGTGGAACAGAATTTAATAAACTTCATCATATAAATAAACTTCTCGATTATATAAATTCTCTTTTTTTATTTTTACCGAAAAAAAATTATATTCACCAATAGTTGTATAATTTTAATTAAAAGAAAAAAATAAGATGTAAGTTTTCTTTGGCGAAACGATTTCATGCAATAATCGAGGTCGTGTGAATGTGTTTTTCATCATTAATATTTAAACTCGTAACAATGACACTTTTATCTTCGAAAACATATTTCGATTCGAAAATTATTTTATAAATTATTTATTATATTAATTTTTTTTAGATACTTAGGCTAATGTCTATAGCATATAATTTATCATATGTTTTTACATTTTATGATTAAATATGACATACGATTATGAATATTTTTATGATCAATAACTTTAAAGTCGAATAAATAGAAGAGGTGAATAATGACTCTTTTATAAAATTTATATGAGATGTGAATCTAAAATTATATCTTTCATATATATTTTCATATTTCATTATATTTGTATTTTATACAAATATAATGAAATATTAACATTTTTGGTAAACCTATTTAAGACAGTTTTAATCAATTTAATAAGAATAAATAATTTGTAATTGTTAAACAGATATTTAAAAAATGCTTCATTTTGAAGATACTTATGGAGAGAACAGTAAACTCTGAATATCATGATGAAGAAAATGATGAAAGAAGCCATATTCTAAATAAAGAATATGTAGGTGTAATCAAGCTACGTGGGGACAAGCCAAGATTACTGTCAGTCCATGACTATTACATTTCTCTTTAAGTGCTTGTTTTTGCCACATGCGGCAACATATTACATTATTAATGGCAAATAAAAAAATTTAATAATAATTGAACATGTACAAAAAGGACAGTAAAAAAAAGAATGTCAGCAAAAGATAATATAAAAATGTTTTCATTACAATTTATTTTCTTCATCCTGCATATTTATTAATTTTTTACACAACATTGACGAGTTTTCCTCATCTAACTTGTGATTACGATGCTTACAGGGAAAATTCGCACGTGTGCGAGCGAGATGGGTGGAAGCACGCGCGGTGGGGGAAAGAACGAAAGAGCGGAAACACGTGCGGGAAAAGGACGCAGCGAGGGACCGTAGTATGACGAACGCAAGGCAACCGGTGCAGACGATGGTGCGGGCAGTCTGCGCACGGACATCGATCGAGGTTCACGTTCCATCCACTCCCCGAAATTCCCAATTGTTTCTCAAATTGTTTCGCGAAATATTAACGATACGTCACGTACTTGCAGAGAGAGGCGAGAGAGAAAGACACGCCGCGGTATTTGATGCGGCGAATCGCGTGCGTGACAGTGCGATGACACCTGTGCTTTTCCGAGAGGAACGAACCGTCCAGTACTGCAGCTGTGGGGGGTGTTTTTCCGCCGGTGGACCATAGGAGTTTTCTCTGCAGCAACCGGAAGACGTTGGTTCGCCAGTGACCTCGCCGCTCAAATAAAGGTAAGTGACAGTTTCATTGACAATTGTGTGGGATAAAGAGAGGTTGTATCGCCATTTAAACGTGACATCAATAATGATGAATTAACGCAGTTCAACATTCTTTTATTACTTCAAATATAATAAAACACTATTATAACAGTAGCGCTGAAAATATGTTATTAAATATTGTAAAATTATAAAATGTAATTCGCTATTAGATATAATGTCTCTCGTGTGTTGATGTAAGCTACATTATTTAAAATAGAGCTAGAGGTATCGTTGACGCAATACGGTATTATCGCAAGGGCGTTCGCACCAGTAATTCCGGGCAATCGAATCGATCCACGCCAACGCGATTTTGCTGGTTCTGAATACTTCTGAATACTCTTGCGGAAATTCGCTTATTCTACAACTTTTTACATTGTGTAACTTCTCCAACAAAGTTTGTATCGTGTCACAATGACGGAGAACTCTTGTCACAATGTATTTCGCACGTAAATTAATAATGTCACGTCGAGTGGCGTGCTAATGATTCAATGATGACGATAAAAAAGGAAAACATTGCCGCGACAATTTATGCATAATATTCATTTGCAAATCTTTAAATCGCAAATTACAAAGTATAATAGCTTCAGTTGTGAATACGAAATTTTAATGAGCGAAAATTTGTGGTGTTACAGAATCACGCAATTTATCGTGTTTATACCATAATGCCTTTACGAAAATGACGGCTCACGGAGACGTGACATTTTTCGCAATCGAAGAGTTAATCTCAATTTTTTAGTATTTGTAATTGTAAATAATTAACTAGAATATAATTATAAAATTATTTTTAAAACTTTGTTAGCAACAGAATAATGGAGTCTACAATAAAATATGCACTAACGCGTGTCTTTACGTTCTCTTCGAATGGATATGCAAAATATATGCAGTAAATATATGAGAGACGTGTCGAATAAATTAATCCGCGATACATATTTCTGTGGAAATCATTTAAATATTAATATTATTTAAAATAAAAGATACTGTTTTTATTAAATGGGGAGATATTATAAATTTTGCTAAAAAAGTCGGTCATATTTTTTAAATAAGCGAAAGTAGATTGGAGTTTTAAATCAAAATTGTCATCATCGGCTTCAATATAAATTTCTCGTCTAAAAAAAAGAATTTTTTGAAATCTTTTTTTAAAAAAAAAGCTTTTGATTTTTTAAACTTTATTTGATACGGAATTTAACAGAAAATGCAAAATCTTCCGCAATCTAAAGAAGTAAAAGAACAAATATTGCATTAATAATTATAAATAAAAATAATTTTCTTAATCGCATTTCTTATTTATTTTAAGAGTTACAACAATGTATTAAAGCCTACTTGTGATTCTAAATTTTGCCAAAATAAGGAAGCAGAACAAAATTTTTCTCAAATCCCGAATTAATTTCGAAGAAATTATTTCTACTTGTTTCTTTCCGCGGCATTTTTAATCGGCTCGAGAAGTTTTTGTTTTAACGCAATTACAGATCGCGTTACAGATTCGAAGACTTCAAACTTGTATGCTTAGTAAATTACATATCCTACGGTAAACTAGGAATAACAGTAGAATTATAGAAAGATCGATAGCGAGAGACGCATTCATTTCACTGTGCTATAAATTGCTCGGTCGTATATACAAACTGCAGAACATGTGAAAGCGGTCGATTCGCTTTTACTGCTCGTAACACTATTTCATATCCAGTGTGCATCCACGGCCACGCGATCATGTACATACATTCCAGAGCACGTAACACGCTTAATTTACCGAAGTTCACCGAGTTTTTATGTTTCCAATTTAACCCCGCATCGTCATTTTAGTCTAAACCTATACGCGTTAGGAAAAGTCATGGCGATATCGTGCAATTTTCTACTAAACGTCGAAACTACGACCGGATGTGGATCTAAAATTGAGTAAAGAAACGGATGAAGTTACGATGGATCGGAGCGATGTATGTCTGCATATGAGCTTGATGTTTGACAAAGTGTTCCTTGTTTCGTTACCACGTATTCTCAGTAGCGAAATTACGACGCATGTAATGTAACGTATTCGTTATTCAATCTCTCACGTTCATCAATTTTACATTTTCGCGCGATTATTTCATGAGAAAATTTAAACATGTCAATATAAATTTTTTTTAATATTTAATATTAAATATATTTAATAATAATATTTATAATAATATTAAATATAATAATATTTAATATTATTTTAATGCAAAATCTTAAAATCTTTCCCTTATCTCTTGAAATTGAAATAAATTTAAATAAAAGCAGAGTTAGTGCAATTGTTGATACGTAAGAAGTATTTTATGTTTAATGCAAAGAGAGCGAATAGTTTTACTTGAATGTGGAACGACGTGACGAGTAGCTTTCGCGAGAATTACTCTCGTCGCTCTCTAGAAATTGCGAAGCTTCCTCTAAAGCTCCCGTGCGCCATATTCACGCTGTATCTCTCGTCAACGTTTTTGTAAACGTTATTTTCTTGCGGAAATCTCTGGTGGCCATCTGTCAGAGAGAGGCGCTCCGCTTCGCTGTTGAGTTTCTCGCTAGTTCGCGACAATCGTGTAAACCTGCTCGACGCGTTTTCTGGACTTTTTAATTATATTAATCGCGATTTACATCATCATGACGCAATATTTCTCGAGGGGTTAATCCGCTCCAAAAATTCCTTATATCTATTTATCTCTCATGCGTTATGTGTCTTCTAATCTCTTTTATTGAAATATATTTTAGATTATATATAGTAACAATTAAATTGTTATATTTATGTTATATTTATGTTTATGTAGTTATTTGTTGCGAATCGAACTTTACATTTGAGATTTAATTAGAGAGTAAAATTACTTAAATTAAAAGCTTTTGATGAAACGACGTCCAGTTGTATAACAATTCTACATTTATTTATTTTTTGATGTTTTTATATGCTTCCGTATTCAAATTGGCGAAATTAAGTGCATTGAACTTAGTGCTTTGAAAGTAAGCGTACTGATAGATCAACTCTTACGTGTAAGATTCATTATGGATTTTTACAAGAATTACTTTCTTCCAGACGCTTTATAATCTTGTACACTTCGCAAACACATTGTAAATTTCTAATTTTACAATTTATGAATTACGTCACGTACGTTTCTTCGTTATACTTTCATAAAACTGACTGATAGTATCGCTAAGAAAATATATTCAGTCAAATAACATATCCTTTTTCCTTTAACATTACATGGAAAAAATAATTAAACTTTATAAAAATCGAAATGCATTATAAATTTACAAGAATAATTCAAGAAGAATAAAAGTGATAGTGCTTCGTGAAACAGATTAATCATTATAGTAGTGAAAGTATCTAGGATAAAATAGACAAAAGCAAGCATGAAGATACAGAGATAGAATAATTATAGCTCTTGTAAAATCTAAATAACAACTATTTTGTGCTTGTCAATCAGCGATATCTTTATCTTGTGGAAGGTTTACGATAAAATAAGTAAAAATAGCAGTAATTGCATAGAATAGATAAAATCATTGAAAGAGATTGTTTTGGATGAGATATTTCATTTTAGATGTCATATTATTTACTGCTTTACATCCAATAAAAAGTGCTGTTCTTCTTGAATGACACGTAGAAAGAAACGCGAGAACGGCCATCAACTCCGGAAATTCCAGAATATGGCTGATGATGTCCCGCGACGCGTCGCCCGTCGAGCAGAAAAGAAAAAAAATTAGAAGGAAACACAAATGCAATGGTCGTTCCTATCGTAAATCATCGTCGAAAATACAATAATATACACAGAGAAAGAGAGATAAAGAAGGAGAGAGAAAGAAGAGGCACGAGCTCGCGCCATAAACCAAATCGCATCGGTTGACTCCGCTTGACCCCCCGAGTCCGGTTGACCTTCTTTAGGGGCTTTTGTGCGACACATTTTGGTCGCTTTATGCCTTTTTCGACAGATCCTATCGCGCGTGCCCACCGGTTTGCAATTTTAAATAGACGCGTCTGCCGAGATACTCCTCAAGGTTCCGCAAATTCGAGAGATGATAGGCTAGATATGCGGAGCTCATCGTCTTTCGCTGGAATAATCTCGAGGGGTGGATTATTGTGGAATTTTGATACGCAAGATTTCAAGACATTAGCAGGAATTATTATGTAAACAAAATATTAATAAATACGCTAACTCGTTTGAATAATGAAAGAATTTTTAATTCATTGCAGGCTATCATTAAAGCATTTTACTTAAGAGATGACTGTTTTAATTTTTTAAAGACTTTAAATTAATATTTAGAAAAATAAATTCTTACTGTTTTTAAAATCTTGCCTTTAGCATATTTATTGCAAATATCACTTTGTAATAAATCACAGTGAAATTTACTTCAAAAATCAGTCGTCACATTTGATTATACAACTCAATTTAAAAATTAAATTATATAAAATAATTTAAATTATTGTCAATATATATATTTTTTTTTATTAAAGTAAAGAAAACAAAGTATATTACATAAGTTGCTTTAAAATATTACGAGTAATTGGTAGTTGTAATAGTATGTGGAGATATAGCAATACTATTAATGGTGAAAATTGCAATTTAATTACACATTGCTTACGAAGGTAGTGTTGGAATCCTTGCGTTCAGCAGTTTATGCTTCAGATATATTATGATCATGCAAAATAATTATATACGTATGCATCGTAGACTTTAAACGCCAGCTTTCGCTTTTGTTCTCGCACGAAATAGTCCCGCCTATGCCGAATCATGCACGTGCGATCATAAATTGATAATATCAGTAGATTAACTAACACGGTCGAGTTAGTTTGCATAGCGCACAGGCCTTCGTAGTACGTGCATTAATATAGAATGCGATCTCTTTGCTTCATGCTTGTTTGGCTTATCCTAAATGACTGTAGCACATGTATTTAAATGATTGTTCAATTTTCGAAATTACCATAATATATATGTATTGTGCAATCCATAAAATTATAGTAATACATTATCTATAAGGCACAT